TAGGGGGATATGAGGAATAATAGTATTAATTGATGAATTTAATATGAGTATATTGAACACACAAGTAGTGCATCTTCATAACTATTATAAGCATTTTTAAGATCTCAAAATGAAACAAACATTTAAGATTCAAGAAAATTGCATTTTTCAATCCAATGTTGATTAATAAAATCGATTTAAAATATGCACTACTGCCCTCTCAAAAGTCTCTTATAAGTGCATCGAAGCAACATTTAAGACATTTGAAACGTTCATTATATAATATGCAGGTAATGTATGTTTTCCTTTCAGTGATTTTTCCTTGTTTTTCACAGCTAAATATAGGCTGTTTCCCCAAGTCCAAAGTATGTATATATCCACTAAAAATGCTATATTTTTCCTTGTAATGCCCAGTGCACAGCGAGATCTTCACCAGAACCATGACTTAACAGCTCACTTATATCAGCTAGTTGATGAATTTAACTGACTGAAAGACAGAAAACTGTCCCTATACGCAACCTCTGCTAAATAAAATGCATGTTAAATTAAAGTAAATTTTTTATAAAATGTGTGGGAACTGTTAAAATCTGATTTCATTTCCCCCCTTTCTGTTATCTGGTTGCTTTATTTTGCCCAAAAAAGTGATTTTAAATAATTTAAAAACAAACCTTTTTTTAACAACATTGGAAACAACAAAAAATTTTTTCTAAAATTATTGCATTTTTTAAAACTTAAATCTTTTAGAAAAGAGGTGAAAAAAAACCCATAAAAATTTTTCTCTTACATAACTGACACATTTTCTAACAGTTTATTAAAGATCTTGTTTTTGAACTAAAACAATAAAATGAAATACCAAATAACTGAATTAAAACATATTGAATAAAAACATCAAAAAAACAAATGTTAACAGTAAAAAATTAAAACGCTGTGCTCATTTTTTCTTAAGTTTAGGCTGAATTCACTGTTTATTTCAAAAGAGTTACTGTTGAATGACAGTCGATACTGGCAAATGATTAGGAAAAAATGTTAAATCTACCTTAAATGTAAAAAGACTATTTGACTCTTTTTTATAAATTGAATGTTAATTCTAATAGATTTTTACAGAAAATTTATTTTCCCACAAGAGTTAGTTATTGTTCAGACAAAGTAACAAGAAATAATGGCAATAAGTATTGTTTAACCTATTTTGACTTTTCACCTGTTCACTCACTTATAGTATCGGATGGGCATAATGTCACTTTTAACATCACAATTAAACAACATCAAAAAATTCCAACACTTGTTCATTAAAGCTATGAAATTATAACCTTAAACAATAATGAATAAAAGGTACTGACTTTAAACAACAAGATGCCAATCCTAGGTACAAATTATTTCAGTTTTATAATTACTAAATCATTACACAAAAATGATATGTTCTGCTATTTTCTCCGACAACATTTTAACATCATACAAAAACAACAAATCATTCAAAATACAACAATAAAGTTACCATTAAACAACTGTACAATACATGCTTGTTTTATGATCATGAAAATTATGTAAATATATAATAAATGCTCTCTTTGGTCCCATAATATTTTTAAGTTTTTTTTTTAAATGTATATATAATAATAAACATTAATTTTTATTGAAACAGTGATTGAAGTGTGTCAACAATTATGTACATAAAAATTGTGAAGTGCAGAGCAACAATAATAAAAAAATCAATTGATTCACATTGAGACAAAGTTTGTGAAATCACCAAAACTTTTTTTTTTTTTTTTGTGGCAAGATTCTATGAAAAGCTGAAAAACCCTAGATTAAAAATAATCTTATGAAAAATTCTAGACATCAAACAATGATAACCCTAGATGTCTCAGGGAAGTAAAACTATAGCCTACCCAGGGTAGTAGAACTCTAGCCATCCAAGGGAAGTAGAACCCTAATGAGCCATCCTCCTATAGGAGAAGAACCCTAGCCATCCTCCCAGGGGAGTAGAACCCTGGTTGTCCCAAGATAAGCAAGATGAGCTTTAGCATTATGAAATCTCTGCCACAGGGTTTTGCCCCTGGGGGGACTGTTTGATTTGGGTTCCCAATTTATTTAAAAAGAGATGGGTTTTATGGACCTTTTTAAAAAGCAGATGGGGTTTAATCACCTTTTTTAAAAGCAAAAAATTTTAAATTTCCCCTTTAATGCCAAAATGTTAATCTGCTCTAAATACAAGGTTAAAACCCCTGTAAATCAAAATGGGTTAAAAACAAACCCTTTAAAAACACCCAAAAACTGCCAAATGGGACCCTTTAAAAATTTTCCTTCCCCGTGTTTTAAACCCAAAAAAAATACCCCTATCTGAAATTTAACTCAATCAACTCAAAAAATGCCAGGGTTGGCATACATGTACAGTTTAAAAAGTTGGTTTTAAAATTTTTAAAAGTTTCATGGGGCTTTTCCAAAAAAAATTCAGAATTTAAACTGAAAATTTTACCCTGATTTATGGGAAAATAGGACTCATTTCTTATCACCACTATTGTACCCCATTACAGACATAGTAAGTGTTATTTCAACATCATCATTTTGTATTGATTGTGAATGTCAAAAGCTAGATTCAACAGTCTATTTTCACCCTTTTCACTACATTGTTCTTTATAAAAGTTAGTTTTTAATTAAAATGTGTTGCTTTAAAGCTAATTCAGACAGGTTCTAAAGTGGGAATAAATATACAGGGATTTCTAGTGAAAATGATTGTCTAGCATAACTTATTATAGAATTAGAAATTAACAAATCTATTATCAAGCTTAGACTATTGTATTTGTTTTTGTTTATGACACAACTACCTTAGTAGTGACTCATGTAATGGGATATTCCACCTTCTTTCCATCTAAAATGCATAGATCCCTGACATGTCTATTTCTACTTATCAGATTAGTGTACACCAGAAGAATTTCACCACAACATAATTTGTTAACATTAGAAAAGAGCACATGACAATATTTATGGTTATATCTTTTGTTATTCAAAAAAAAGTTAGGATCTATCAATTGACTGAGATAGCATGACATTTACCTGTAAAACACATAAATTACGCGCAGTCTGGTCAGGATCCATGCTGTTCGCTATCAGTTTCTCTACTTGTAATAGGGTTTGTAAGCGAACAGCATGGATCCTGATCAGACTGCGCAGATGCGCAGATGGTCTCGATCCATGCTGGTCGCAAATGCACTATGTTGGTTTTGTCGTGACGCGGCTCATTTGTTGCCATTTGAAAAAGACTAGGATTAAACTTGTACCAGAAACAGTACAATGAACACAGACTCAGTTAATAACCACCTCCTTGATTCATTTTTAAAAATGTAACAAGAACCTTTACAAAATGACAAGTCATTAAATATCTGTTAAAAAGATTCTGGACAGGTTATATGACCTAATATAAATAGTTCTTTGCATATATAACATGTGCCAGCAGGCAAGGGTTATATTACAATCAATCATTTATATAAGTATGGCCATATAACATGTCAAGAGTCTTTATAACCAATTTATTATATTGCAGTCAATCATTTATATAATTATGATCATATATTTTGTAAAGAGGTTTTATAACCAATTTATAATATTGCAGTCAGTCATTTATTTAATTATGGCCATATAACATGTCAAGAACCTTTATAACAAATTCAAAATACAGTTTAAGAACAAAATCAGATAACTTCATTAACACGATTATCCAATGAAAAGTGATGTTACAAACAATCAGTATCGTAAGATCCTACACACATTTATTATGCCCAGATATACCTTTCACTAGATATGGATAGTTTCTGCTTCAGATTCGTATGAAACTTGCGCGTCAGTGAAAAGTCTGTACGACTTATGTCTACCTCGAAGATATCCTTTCTTTGATGCCCAGCATATGATGGCTACAGTACCACATATACCTAGGAATGCTATACTGGTGGGTATGATTATAACAATAGCTGTCTTTGTCCCTGCAGTCTCACCAGTCTCTATTGTTCCTAACCCTGTAACAAAAAGTAGTTTCTGATACACACAAAACAAGTTTGATACAGGTACTCTTTTCGAGAAATATGTACTGAATAATTTCTGTTTTTATAATGCTTTTTTATGTGAATAATTGTCAACATCACATTATCTGTTGTCTGAATTAAGTAAAATCCTAAAAAAAAAACACTGAAATAATTCATGTGCACAATGAGGTTCAGATACATAGAGGATATTAAATGAGTGAACATACAGGTTAAGTACTGAATTTATGAAACACTTTGATTTAAATGAAATTATGCCAGCCTCTGGGGCACATTAAATTATATTATTTCTTTCATAGAGTTTGATTCAATAATGAAAGTTTATTAATAAAATTATCACATATGGAAATACCAAATCTTAACAGTAAAAAGGAGTCTTTCTTTTTTTCATTGACACACTTAAAGTATAACGCTAACATTTAGCACGCCGCTATGGTTTAATTCTATGTTGTATAACGCAAATGACATCATGTCAAAACCGCCATGGAACACTGTTTTTACAGAGTCACAAAAACAGCACAAATATGAGAAAAATGTCATTCTTTATAAACAAAGTTACATGTATAGATGGCTAATAAAAACCTTTTTTTTCATTTTCTTGTTACCTCCCTTTACATACATGGCTTATCTTCAACTTTTTTTTTTAATTTAAAAGCATTATATATTTACTTTCAAACTTTGCAGATTATCTATCTGTATGAAAGAGTAAAATATTCTTTCATATTACACATCCAATACGTATATCCAGACGTGATTTGTTTCTGTTTGGAATTTTTTGTAATATTGCCACTGAAGTACAATTTGGAGTTATTAGGAAACAAAATATTATTGCTTCAGCCATTAGTAATGGAGTTTTTTATATGGGAACAGTATCAAAGAGTCTTAAAGGAACTTCACTCAGGTGCCACCAAGTTTTGGGGAAGGCGCCCTAGCCCTTTTTGTGGGGAAAAATGCATGATTTTCACACTTTTGGGGAAAACATAATATTTTCACACATTTTAGGGGAATATCATAATCTATTTGCATATCTTCCTCCAATCACATTTAAGATCTACTATAGTACTAAGCTTTCTGTCCAACATGAGTTAATGGCATTTTTTACAGATCAATTTATTGCTCCTTTATATTAACTCATATTTCCTAATTATAGAATTTTACGTAGGTCATGTGAGGGTTCTTGGTTTGATTCAGAGGGTACATTATTATCAGTTCCCACAGTATTTTTGGCACTGTTGTGCTAGGCTCGCCAATTCCGACAGTTGGGCATGTTGTGCTTTTGGACACATTGGCTTGCTAGGGGATACATGTATTGGATTCTGTTGCTCTTACAAGGTCATCAATTCATCCAATTTTTAATAAACAATTACAAACGTCACTCAATCGTATATTCTTTTTGTTCTGTGGCATTGTTTACATTAGCGACATCGTAAATCGGTCGCCGTATTGTCATAAAAAAATCACATGTGCACTAAAAAATAAGGCAGCAGGGTTTTCCCATGCTGTTTTTAGAACTTAGTTGCAAACTCAGACCGTTGCTCTGAGTTAACATCAATTGTATTAAATCAAGGTATCCCTCTATTTGAATTATTAGCTTTCATTGGACAAAACAACTATCTATTTTTAAACAAGAAAGTTTGTTTACAAGTTTTATTCTTCAGTTTGTCTTTTCTTTTAAAGAAATAAATACTACCATACTGAACACTTAATACCAAATAATTACTATACTGATTATTCTCCATAATATATATTGTTTGTTTGTTTTGGTTTTACGTAACAACGACACAAAATAGGTCTTATGGCAAGGTTCTAGCTTTACTGGTGGAGGAAGACCTCAGATGTCCTTTCGTACATTATTTCAGGCACGAACAGGTACCCCGAGTAAAACCACCAACATTCCGCAAGTCCCAGTAGGGATTCAAACCCAAAACGGTGAAGGGCAAATGCTTTAAAGTCTATTATCTTAACCACTCAAAAATGGGCACCTCTCCTGAATATATATAATTTTCATAACAGATAAACCACTCCAAAACAGGCACCCTTCCTCAATATATAAAATTTTCATAACAGATAGTTTTTTATCAGGCAAAAATGTACCTAAGTACATAAATATAAAGAAAAGTACCTTTATTCATATGGAACCATGCAAACGATGAATTGATCGGTTTTGTAAAGTTTCCTGTGAAATATGGCTGGTCCTGGCGTGTAAATGTTCCCGTTATTTCTAGTGGCTGATGTAGTGGAAATCTCACACCGGGCGTGTAGATCTTGGACAATGTAAACACTATCAAATGATTGTCTGGAGACGTCCCTGTCAGAGATAAATTAAAGATTACAAACCCTATTAAATTGAAAATGACTTATTTCTGGTAATTTTTAATAACCTTGAATATTTGTTTTAACAGATTTTGTTTTTTAAACAATGTATTATTCTAGAGTGTTATCTTCCACTATGGTGTCAGTACAGGTAATTCAGAAAATACCAACTTGGCAGCCTGCATGAATGCTTATCGGGATTCCTTCATAAGAAAAGATGTTACATAATTTAGACTGACATTATGCCCAGCCTTGGTGAGTGAATACGTGCAAGACAATATAAATTTACATATTTCCATAACTTGTTTCAATTTTGAAATTCACCTTGCATGAATAATAAATAAATCGAATTGCCCATAATTAGCTAATTTCTGTAAATATCCATTGGAATTAACATGTAACATTCAATTTATAAAAAGAGTGGGGCAATCTTTTTTACATTTAAGGCAAATTTTTATTTTATCTGAAACATTTTCAAATACCAACTTTTGGTCTGAATCACCATTATAGCAGATATATAGTCAACTCAGCTAAACTTGACAACGAAAAAATGAGCATAATGTCTCTTTGGTTACAATATTTTTCATAATCCAAATTTTTTTGTAAATTCATAAAGTTTTATAATCAGTAATCAAGTATAATGCAATATCACTGTAAATACACATTTCATACAGTGTATTATTTAATATACTTTAGCAGGGATTTATGGGATCAGGATCCTGCATCAATAAAAAGGCTTCTTGGATGAACAATGCATGGATATAAGGCTGGTGTCATAAATCTAGTCCAACATCATTTAAAGTTAAAAACCCTGACAGTTTACATTTTTTTTCATATATATTTGATAAAAATAGTAAACACTTTTGGAAATTAGTTGAATGACATCATAAATTATTTATTTGACCCCCACTATAATAAAAGGCTGAACCCCTTTAATTTAGGAACATGCATCCATTGGACCCCTCAAAAATTGAAAGTGAAATAAATCCCTGCTTTAGACTTATATTTTAAATACAGTTCATTTAGTAAGTTTGTATTTCCTTCAAAAAAAATATTAAAAGAAATATAATGTGAATAATGAAAATAATTTTAATTTATTACAATAATATTAACACCATTGAATGAAACAAACATTTAAATGATTTTACCATAATATTGACTAAAACAGACAAAAGATAACTTTTTTTTTGGGGGGGGGGGGGGGGGTATTAAGGGGTTCAGAAAGATTTTACCTTGTACCAATACAGTAGAGAACTAATATATTCGGATTCCATAAAATAATACCGCTAAATCAAATATAAATAAGACAAAAAAGAGCTAGAATACCATTGTATAAAAAGAAATAAACTATTATACCATTGAATGAAACAAGACAAAAATTGAACTACCATACCATTAAATGAAACATGACAGAAACTGAACTACCATTCCATTCAATGCAATGAATGAAACAAGACAAAAATGAACTACCATACCATTGAATGCAATAAGACAAAAATGAACTACCATACCATTGAATGAAACAAGACAGAAATGAACTACCATACCATTAAATGAAACAAGACAAAAACTGAACTACCATACCATACCATTCAATGCATTGAATGAAACAAGACAAAAATAAACTACCATACCATTGAATGAAACAAAACAAAAATGAAGTACCATACCATTGAATGAAACAAGACAAAAAATGAAGTACCATACCATTAAATGAAACAAGACAAAAAATGAACTACCATACCATTCAATGCAATGAATGAAACAAGACAAAAATAAAGTACCATACCATTGAATGAAACAAGACAAAAACTGAACTACCATACCATTCAATGCATTGAATGAAACAAGACAAAAATAAACCAGGTCTTCATATAAGCTTGCTATACACCAAGTTTGATAACAATATCTCATTCCTAACTCTAGTTATTGTCCGGAAACCATTTTTCTATTTTTAGTAACGGTGACCTTGACCTTGACCCCAGGGGGTCCAAATACAATAACAACCCAGGTCTTCATATAAGCTTGCTATACACCAAGTTTGATTACAATATCTCATTCCTAACTCAAGTTATTGTCCGGAAACCATTTTTCTATTTTTAGTAACCATGACCTTGACCTTGACCCCAGGGGGCCTAAATGCAATACCAACCCAGGTCTTCATATAAGCTTGCTATACGCAAAGTTTGATAACAATATCTCATTCCTAACTCTAGTTATTGTCCGGAAACCATTTTTCTATTTTTAGTAACGGTGACCTTGACCTTGACCCCAGGGGGTCCAAATGCAATACCAACCGGAGTTTCCACATAAGGTTGCTATATACCAAGTTTGATTACAATACCTCATTCCAAACTCTAGTTATCGTCCGGAAACCATGATGTGGACCGACCGACGGACCGACCGACCGACCGACCGACCGACCGACCGACAAGCTGACTCCTATATACCCCCCCTAAACTTTGTTTGTGGGGGTATAACTACCATACCATTGAATGAAGCAAAACAAAAATGAACTACCATACCATTGAATGAAACAAGACAAAAATGAACTACCATACCATTGAATGAAAGAAGACAAAAAATGAACTACCATACCATTGAATGAAACAAGACAAAAATGGACTACCATACCATTGAATTCCAGTACAGCACCATCAGCATCATACAGGAATGCCACCAATGTCCTCGGACTATCTGGATGCTTGTATCTCACTACAAAGTCAAACAAATATCTCACATCATTGAATGAATATTGACCCTCAAAATGATGCGTATGAATAAATATGTCCATCCATCTTGTGTCAAATGTCACTGGTATAAACTGGGTAGTTATATCTGCTCCTGTATTTTTGTTAGTACTTTCAACATGTCCTTTAGTGGTTACACCTCCTGGCCCTTCAGACTGCTTCTCTATCCCATCTGTAGCTTTGTTACTTGACTGTGTCACATTGTTTACCTCATCCTTGCTTTTCTGTGTAGTTACCTCATTATTTATTGGATTTTGTGTAGTTTCAATGACAGTCTTTTGAGATGTGATTATTGCTGGACTTGGTTTGTCAGTTGGGTTTTCAGTGATATTATCAGAGTTTGCTGATTGTGTGTCATTATCATCTGGTAGCTGATTCTCTGCAGTAGTGGCTGGTTCAGTAGTGTTGTCAGATGATGTATCTAGTTGAACTGTGGTTGGAGATCTTGTTGTCCCAGTCCTGTTGTTCTCAGTGGCAACTTCATCAGCAAGTGCTGAACCTACATAATTTATATACAATATATATAAATATAAGAAAGGAAACACCTAACATATTATGTACATTAATATTAATTTTACTAACATTGTTCAATATGTAAATTAATATCTTTAAAACTAAATATGCAGCTAATGCGTTAGCTTTAAAGATCCTGTATGTTATAATTGAGGTTGTATACCACACTTAAGTGAAATTTTATATATGTGTATAGAATAATGCTTATAAAACGATTTTCAAACATCGAAGAATATGTAAAATATGTACTGCGAATATTTTGTGCACATAAAATGTAATCTTTAAAATATATGCATTCATTTCTTATTGAAACATTTGACTAAAAACTTTTTAGAAATTAAGTTTCCTATTATCTCCCTTTATTAACATGAAATTTCAAATTCGGTGATATCTTTATAAATAATTTTTTTTGGAACTTACAATATTGATAAATCTTAATTTGAGCATCATATTTATTTTATAATATAAAACCATACAAAAATTGTGTTACAGGATCTTTAAAGCTGCATGCTTCCAGATGAGCCAAAATATTTCAATACAAGAGCGATCAGTAATCACATGTGTCGCCTCATAATGGCCAATTTTATGTTGGGACAAGTTTTGTGACAGACGGACAGACAGACAGACGGACAGTGCACAACTAGACTTGGTACTGATCATTACTGCAAAGTTTGAATAAAACTGCACCAGTAGTTTTTGAGGAGTAGTCTGGACAAGCTTTTGTGTATCTGGCAACACACAGAAAAAAAACACCTTTTTAACAAAGGGCCATAACTCAGCCAAAAATCATTCAACCGGAAAACCCGTGCAATATGCCCAAGGACTTGAGCTACAGATCAATCCTGTAAAGTTTCACTGAAATTGCATTAGTGGTATAAGAGAAGTAGTCCGGACAAACTTTAAAAATAAAAATTATTAAAGGGCCATAACTCTGACAAAAATCATTGAACCGGAAAATGCTGACAATATGCACAACTACACTTGGTACTGATCATTCCTGTAAAGTTTGGATGAAATTGCACCAGTAGTTTATGAGGAGTAGTCCGGACAAGTTTTGTGACGGACGCACGGACAGACAGACAGACGACGGAGAAGTGATCCCTATATGTCGCCACTACTCCGTAGAGGCGACACAAAAATCAAGCTTGAGAAAAATGTACTAAGATTTTAGGAAAAGTAAAAGATTCAAGTAATAATTGGCATGTAATAATTGAGTTATTGCTGATTTTTCAGTAATTATTGCTATATTTTTACTGTGTTGCTAATGCAGTAAGGACTAATTTTGCATATTTTGACATATTTTTGGTAAATTACCTGGAATGTACGTTGTAAGTGTCATTGATAATGTGCAAATTGCTTCCTTTTGGTTACTGCACAACTTTATACTTTAAAATTAATTTTCAAAGTTTTCATGAAAATCAGCATGAATCTGGAGGTGTGCTGCTTTAATATACAAGTACACTTGTAACAGTATATATATAACATTTTGTATTGATTTCACATCAGCCTAATTTTATCCATTAATTAACAAGTGTACATTCTTTAGATTATAATAATAAACATAATATAATACTTAACATTAGAACAAATTTATCCAATATAAAAGGAATAACAATTCTAGTTTTTCAAAAAAATTCATACCACAGGTAGCAAGAAGTATCAGGATAAATAATGCTCTGTGGACTAAGGTAAAAGCAGTGCCATTGTGCCAAACAGTTTGCAGTATATATGTGTATCTACATCATAGGTGCTCCTTGTAACAGCCTGTCAATTCACTTTTCCATTGTAACTGTACAAAATATACTTATAATGTAAGACTATAACAGCTGGCTGTGAAATAGTTTTAACCCTTTCGCTGCCAGAGGGTTATTGTTTTATTGTTCACCTATTTGCCGGCGGATTTTCTAAGAAATTACTATATTATTAATTAATATAATTATTATTATTTGTTATTAGTATTATAATAATTATATGCGTTTCCAAATCTGTTAATATAATAATAATTATTGTCGATGGTATAATTTTTCTTTATATTAATTATTATTTTTATTATTATTATTAATAATTTTTTATTATTACTATTATTATTATAGAAACAGCTAAAGCCGTCCATATGGCAAATACGCCGTAAATAACAGGGACGGCTTAAGCCGTCCCTATGGCAGTGAAAGGGTTAATGATAATTATAACAATTCTCATCTTTCAGTAAAATATTTCAATCACAAAAATTTTTTGAAACCTGTATTAAATTCTTTCTGAATATGTCTACATTTAGTTTGAATAAAAGAATGAACAAATTATGTATGGGATGCTGCATTCTCTATTACAGCAATACAGGTCAAGTAAAGTTGGTATTTTCTTAAAAATCTTTCAGTTTTTTAAAGAAAACAATTACACTATAACTAACTTTCTTGTTCTCTTCGTTATAAAATTATCAATAACACATTTCTATCATATCTATTAGGGTTTCTTATCTTCTCATACCGTTATAGCTAGCTCAAAGGGCCTGCTTGCAAAGCAAGCTTTATGATAATGCAAATACCAACTAAAAGTGATGGTTTTAAAAACTTTCGTCGGAAGTAGTAAGTAATGAATTGTCACATCGCAAATTTTTGAATTACAAGATAACGACAAAAGCCAAGGAATTCTGATTGAAAACAGATGCTTAGACTTGTCTCCTGCTCACTCCTATTGGAATCAGGACAGGGAGTCAGAATAAACGGTTGCAGTGTATAAAATACCAATTGACAGTTTTAAAACGGAAAATGAGCAATTAATTCATTGTATACTTTACCACAATAAAAGGAAATCGAGCTTGGTTTCAGGGTTTGCCTTCTTCATATTACATATTAATCATGAGTCTTGTACATAGGCAAAAAGTTACAAATACAATAATTTTTTGTCACTCAAACGCTTCATGCATCGAATTGTTTTGGGGGCGAATATAATTCATGCGATTAAAGCAAAATGCTGCATATTTCAAAGAATAATAACCGCAGTTCTAGAACTTTTAAAGCTTACATTTCATGTTTATATAGTCAGCACTTGACTAGTTCTCATATTGTGTATGAAATCTATATTTATTTACAAATAGACTGAAAAAATCGGAAAAATCGATGTTTTGTGCATCACGGTGTGCATAAGAATAGTTTACTATGACATTACAATGTGGTAAGGTCAGAGGCTGCTACCACAGGCGAAAGCTGATTGTTATTATATTTTCATCTTGATAGATCTGCGTTTATGGAACGCCGTGACTGTCTTATGCTATAAATATTTTTGCTATCTTCTGAAATGATGGTATTATTTTGTCATTTAAGCATATTAACATGTGCAATTTACATCATATCTTGTCTAAAGACAATGCTGACTTGTCCAAACAGCATGTTAACTTGTCAAATAATCATTATGACATGTGCAGGCAACATGTTAACTTGTCAAAGTATCATGATGACTTGTGCAAACGACATGTTAACTTGTCAAAATAACATGATGACTTGTGCAAACGACATGTTAACTTGTCAAAATGTCATGATGAATGTGCAAACAGCATGTTAACTTGTCGAATTAATCGTGATGAACATGCTCATAATACCTAAACAAGTTAACATGTGTTTTGCACAAGACATCACGATTCTTTGACAAGTTCACATGCTGTTTGTACAAGTCATCATGATAATTTGACAAGATAACATGGCATTTGCACAAGTCATCACGATACTTGGACAAGATAGCATGTTGTTTTCACATGTTATCACGATGGTGTGACAAGTTAACATACTGTTTGCACATGTCATCATGAAATTTTGACAAGTTAACATGGCATTTGCACAAGTCATCATTACACTTGGACAAGTTAAACATTTCGTTTTGCACAAGTCATCATGATACTTGGACAAGTTAAACATGCTGTTTACACATGTCATCATGGAATTTTGACATGTTAGCATGGTATTTGCACAAGTTATCATAATACTTTGACAAGTTAACAGTACGTTTTGACATGTCAGCATGATACAAGATAACATGTCATTTGCACAAGTCATCACGATGCTTTGACAAGTTCACATGTTGTCTTCACAAGTCATAATGGTAAATTTGACATGTTAACATGCTGTTTGCACAAGTCATTATGATACTTTTGACAAGTTAACATGCTGTTTGCACATGTCATCACGATAATTCGACAAGTTAACATGTCGTTTGCACAAGTCATCATTATACTTTGACAAGTTAACATGGCGTTTGCACAAGTCATCATGGACACTTTGACAATTTAACACACTGTTTGCACATGTCATCATGAAATTTTGACAAGTAACATTAGCATTTGCACAAGTCATCATTACACTTGGACAAGTTAACATGGTCGTTTGCACAAGTCATCATGATACTTGGACAAGTTAAACATGCTGTATGCACATGTCATAACGATAATTTGACAAGTTAACATGCTGTTTACACATGTCATCATGGAATTTTGACATGTTAGCATGGTATTTGCACAAGTTATCATAATACTTTGACAAGTTAACAGTACGTTTTGACATGTCAGCATGATACAAGATAACATGTCATTTGCACATGTCATCACGATAATTTGACAAGTTAACATGTCGTTTGCACAAGTCATCATTATACTTTGACAATTTAACATGGCGTTTGCACAAGTCATCACGATTCTTTGACAAGTTAACATGCTGTTTGCACATGTCATCACAATAATTCGACATGTTAACATGTCGTTTGCACAAGTCATCATTACATTTTGACAAGTTATCATGTCATTTGCACAAGTCATCATTATACTTTGACAAGTTAACATGATGTTTGCACAAGTCATCACGATACTTTGACAAGTTAGGATGTTGTCTGCACATGTCATCATAATCATTTGACAAGTTAAAATGTTGTTTGTACAAGTCAGCATGTTCCTTTGACAAGACATGATGTAAATTGCACATGTTAACACGCTCAAAAGACAAAATAATATCATCGTTTCACAAAATAACAAAAACTTTGATTACATAAGACAGTCACGGCGTTCCATTATTCTACATAATTTCATGTCGTGAGAATCATCCTTATTCGTTTCATTGATACATGACAGCTGTATCATTAAATGATTTGATTGTCTGAATAAACTTTTACTAGATCTAAACAGCCCTGGGCAGAAATCACATGCATGCCCATCTAAAGGTACATGTATGTATAAAGTGAGTGAACAGGTGAGAGTCACAATAAATTTTCATTTTGCCATAATTCCTTTTAATTGAATAATTTACTTCGCATAAACAATAAGCAACCCCCGAATCCAAACGAAATTTCTGTAAATATCATTTAGAATTTACCTTTGATCTGAGAATCCCGTGACAGACCATCGGTCATAAGAACATGCCATCTTGTGAGGAAATTAAAATCTGATTTATGATAAAATTGCGTTATTACGATGGGTGCTCGGGAAGTTTAAGGACTTTTGCTGTAGTTTGATAAATAATAGGAATTGAAAAACAAGAAAAACACCGTAAAATATTTAATTCTTTTACAGCCACATGTAAAAATTACAATGAAATACATTAAACAATAAGTAAATTACAAATAAAACAAAACATTCACAGAAGCATACCCGGAGCACGCTAACGTCACGTCAGTGCTAAATATGTTAACGTCAAAATATCCCCAATCGTCATATCGACTCACTTCTCGACGTAATCTCCATTCATAGCGATACATTTTCTATGCCTCTTGACCCATTTTTCGTACGTGTCCTCGTACCAGATGTTGTCGAATGACCAAACTATTCTCTGCGTTTCAATTTGTAATTCCAACCCGGAATCAAAGCGTCGACCACGCAGCTGTGCTTTGATTTCCGGAAAAACTCGGAAAACCATCGGTGCGAGGTCCGGGCTATAGGGTGGATGCTCGAGCGTCTCGAATCCCAGGAGGCTGATTTCCAACTGCGATGACTGTGCACGGTGGTAGGGGGCGTTGTCCTGGTGAAGAATAATCTGGTCGAGGTCGACCCCGGGGCGCTTTTTCCGTATAGCCTGGACGAGATCCCGCCTTAGAACCTGAAATCATGATTATTTTTTCTATGAATAGTGTATTAAAAATATTTCAATATATTTTTTTTCATTTATTTAATTAGTTTTGTCTTATATTTAAAATAAAATAAATTATCATTTATGAGTGTCTATAAGTACCTTTGAGTAATAATTGGCGGTCACAGTCTGTCCTTCCGGATACGGTGCTGTAATAGCATTCCCAGCCTGTCCATGAAAAACACGAACATGTGTTTTCCGCCGCTTTTCTGAACCCGCGCTTTCTTTCGAGGAGGACTTCCGGGAGTTTTAATTCCTGACAGATGATTCCTGTTTCGACTCGGGATCATAGTGGAACAATCAAGTTTCGTCCGTAGTGATGATGCGATCTAAAAATGACAACCCCTCTCCTTCGACGCGTCGCACGAATTCTCGGGAACAGTGTAATCTGCGTCCTCGCTCGTCGTTCTTCAGAAGTTTTGGGACGACCTGGCGCTTACTTTTGACATATTGTCTTCTTTTAGGCAATCGTGGACGGTGGACACAGATACAGCAAGTTCACTTGACATTTCTCGCACAGTACGTCGTCGATCTTCCTTTATCAGTTGCCGAACCTTGTATTTTACTCCAGTTTTCACCACCGATGGTCGACCGCATCGCTTGTCATCCTCTATTGACACTCTTCCGTTTCGGAACATGTCGTGCCATCTAAATACTAGCGATCTACAGCATTTCTTTGTTGTACTAGATGCTTGAATCATTTTATACGTCTCCGTTTATGTCTTTTCTATTCCTACACAAAACTTGATGATTGCCCTGACTTCAACGATTCCTATTGACGTCATTTTTCTCTTGATTTGTGTAAGCACCAGTGATGTTAAAACCGTTGTTATTCAAACAATTGTAACGATTTACAAGTAGAATTTTCAGAAAATGACGTTGACGTTGTATTTAACGCTCGTGCTTTTTCGTGACGTTATCCATTATAATTTAAGAAAATTATTATCAATTAAATATATCGGTACCATTAACTTAAATACAATAAAATCGGAGTGCTCCGAGTATGCGTTATGCGGTTCCTATAGAAACAAGTTTCGAGCGGTATTTGTCTACTCTTGATAGTGAGCGTTTTACTACATATTGAGCACATATTTAAATTAAATTTTGTGAAATGTGGATATAAACGCACCATTAAGGAAAAAAATACAGCAAAAGTCCTTAAACGTCCCGAACACCCCTCGTATATATGCGTAGGATTCAAAGAGATTTTTTTTAGAAATGTCAGAATGAATATCATGTATCATATAAACTGCATGCATAGAACTGTTCATGGAGTACTTTTAAAAGTATGGTATAGTTATGCTCTGTATAAACTAACCAAGTCACTTGAGGACTGACAATATATTAAGTCGGTGCGAGGGATGAGTTGGGGCGTAACATATGTTGCTTTTTCGTTATTTTTTATAAAAAAGACAGAATCATTGAAACAAAGGCCTGGGATTTCCTACCACATGTATTGGTTTATGTTTTAGCCGCTTTCTCGCATTGATTCACCTCTTTCTTGATCTAGTATGCTCACTACAACAAGTGTGAGGTGTAATGTACCAGGTATCAAAAGTCGTGGTTCGTACATATATAAGTATTTACAATATATACATGCTTTTTGTAATTTTCTTAAAATTACTATTTATTCCAAATATGTTTATTGTTGAGAATTCAATATTGCTCAAGCTGGCTAACATAGAGTTTGCGCGGGACCTTGCAGTATCTTTCATGAAAAAAAACAAGAGCCGAATTAATAGTTTTATGTATTAAGAAAGATAACTTATTTAGTAACATTTCAAAGAAGTAATTGTGTTACTTCCCTCTAACTGTTATATCTGATTGCTATGTCCTATATCAGTCATGTGCCTCTCTGATACCAACATTCTCACCCGAGCTCTAATCTGTTTAAGTATCCACAAGTAAAAACGATATTAGATATCATCCATATAATTTTGTTATCATCCATATAACATAATAATTGAGACTGTATTATCCTACTTTTTGTTGTTTTGGGGGAATAATAACGTTCAGGAACATTAAGAAATAAAATGGTATAACTGACATCTTTTATTCTTTGCAACAGACCATTGAATATAAAAACCAAATATATATATTCTTTAAAAAATAATTATGTCAATTATATAGCATACGTAGTGCACTACAAACTCAGGTTGGTCGGTAAGTAGCGTCTTGGTTCGTCGTCACATGTCGTTTATGCTTGACGAAAACTTCTCTGATCAATTATATTTAAATTTGTTCAAATTATATTCATACTTGCCATAAGTGTAGTATCCCTGACGGTTCCATCGGTTAATTTTATTGGCATTCTGCTAATTATGCATGACACGTTAAATCAGCATACAATTTCTTAATTGGTTTCAATATCGTGGATATAAGTACAATGTACAATGTATACAATTTTGTCCTGTTGATTTAAACGTAATAACTATTTTTGGTTTATAAAACGGAAGTTTAAAAACTAGTTACTATTTCTTCACACGTTGAATATTTACTTTGTGGTATATACCGATAAAGGATATATGCAATGCATTTTGCAAATATTTATAAAATAAATATACCGTATTAAAATTGAAATGGATTCATTAAAGCCGCTAGAGAAAAGCTTAGTTTGTTTTGATAAGCATAACATATTAAATGATCCAAACACAGGGCAGTTAAAACACCAAAAGATTAACAACTTACAATGGAGTGCTACAAACGAACAACTACGGATGTCCGGCAATTCCGAACATTATGCAACTATTCAAGACAGAAGCGGTGAAAACACGTTTTTTACACCAAACCCTGAATATGATAATGCTACGCCTGGTAAACGTGAAAGTACCTCGGCTCAATATGTGTCTTTTAATACCGGTGATCGACTCCCGACTAGCCCAAATAAAGAAAGAACCGCTGGTTATTCGTATGCCACAAATGGTGAGATACACTTTCTGCGCGATTCAAACCACGAAAACCATCATAGCGAGCAAATCCAACAACTTGAACATAATGATGAGAAGAATTCTAAACACGATGCTTATATGTCTAAATATCAAAGTAAGGGTACTAATGACTCAGATGACATGTACCTTGAACCGAACCCTCGACGGATTGGAGGGAGTGGTAATGATACTAATCATAGCGATATAAGGATAAGTTGGCTTGGTGAAACACATGAGTATCACCAACCTGACAATGGACTTGGGGCAACATTGACGAGTACATATGATGTGGGCAGGGTACGTGTTTATAATTTAGGTAGATTTAAGTAGTTTTAAACGTATTTCACTAAATTCCTTTATAGACTTACCATCCTTCAATTATGACGAAATCGTTTATTATTATAGTGAATATTTTCCAATGAGTACTGGATGAATAACAGACAGTGCAGCCTTTGATCAGACGTCACGAATACGTCAACTGATCTTGGTATGGGTTGAATCGGTGGATCTACCAGACATAGGGTTAAGAAGAAAAGAGTCACGTAGGGGCTCAACTTGTTACTATATATTTGTATTCTTTACTTAATAGACACTTTCTTACAAACTGATTCGACTGGAAATATTTTTTCAAGACTAGTGTACCATTTGATGTAAGTCACGACTTGTACGCAAAACATTAGATCATTTCTTTTCCTCAGAAATTTCCGTTTGCCCAGAATAATTATCTTTATTGGGCAAGCATTTCAAATTTTAGACTCTTTGACAGTGAAACTCCTTTGAAAAATTGTAACGTATGATCCACCTTGATATTGCAGGTGCCTTCAAATAAAAAAGTGACAGCACCAAATAAAAAGGAAAAGAAAATATGTAGTAAATGCAAAATGATTACTGGTGTAATTCTGGTAATATTAGTAGCCGCTGCCACTGCCTCTACTGTTGCAGTTCTTATGATTGGTGATTTAAAAGGTAATTTTAAATACGTATCATTCATCAAACTTAATGATAACTGCAATACAAATACAAGCAGATACAATTTTAAACTATAAATAAATGCAACTATAGATGTACGTTATGAATAAATATACCAAATACACCCCGTATTAAAATCGCCTTTAATACGTCTGTATTTGGAATACCGGTGTATGACAAATGATGTTTTCAACCTCTTGCCAGGCATGGATTTGATTTGATCATATTAACAATTTAAGTGTACCTTTTTATGTGATGTACGACTGAAGTTTTGCTTTACCTCAGACAATACACTTTATGTCTCTGATTATGTTTACAGTGAAAGTGGATGTTTTGACATAATGCTTTAAGGTGTTCCTCATATTAGCACGGGAATCGAGAAAATAGTGCAAATGAGGATACAAGCATAATTTTTTAAGGAAATCATCTTTAGAGCCATGTAGATTTCAAAAGTGAAGTGGGCCTAAAATATCTTTGCTCATTCAAAATTACATCACACTTCCTTTTACTAATTACTTTTACTTATTTACTATTTATATTTCACCTATCCTTACTTCCTTTTGTCGTATTAAAGGTATAGGTTATTGACATATTCGGATGAAATTGCATCATTTTCAAATTAACATGCTACACACCATGACAAGACATAATCGAACCAAGCCTGAAAGAACATAGGAATATCGTCAATTATATCTTCAACTATATCTCCATATGTATTCAAATTCTTTTTAAGTAATTTCCGTCTCATTAACTAATTTCACATGTAATAAACCATCATTTTTAGTAATTTATGTAATATATGTTCATGTGATATGTCAATTATGTATATATTTTGTATTTGTATATGTAATATAGTGATGAACTTCTTTTAAACCAAGTAATAAAATTTTGTTCTGATCTCTCCATTGGTAACTAGACTTTCTATTTATTGACAATTTGAAATTATAGTACACTTTTTTTAATAGAAAAATTTAAGAGATAACCAAACATTCTTAAGGCTTAAGGGCATTGCCTTTAATTTTATGTATGTTTTATGTATGGACGTTGTTGTTGACTTGCTCCTGTTTTTTTGTGATATGAAATACATTTATATATTTATATAATTATCCCCCGCCGATGAAATCGGGAGGGGGATATAGTTTTGCGTTGTCCGTCCATCCGTCCGTCCGAATTTCGTTTCCGGAGTAATTCTCTGCAACTACTGGCTGGAATTCAACGAAACTTTATGGCTTTATGGGAATCATCAATATCAAGAGGAGATGCGCATATCGTCGGCTTGTTCCGGTCCGACCCTTTAACTCAGAGTTATGGCCCTTGATAAGTTATGTAGTATGCATATAGAGTAAAATCGTTTCCGGAGTAGTTCTCTGCAACTACTGGCTGGAATTCAACGAAACTTTATGGGAATCATCAATATCAAGAGGAGATGCGCATATCGTCGGCTTGTTCCGGTCAGACACTTTAACTCAGAGTTATGGCCCTTGATTAGTTATGTAGTATGCATATAGAGTAAAAATCGTTTCCGCACTACTTCTCTGCAACTACTGGCTTGAATTCAACGAAACTTTATGGGAATCATCAATACCAAGAGGAGATTCGCATATCGTCGGCTTGCTCCGGTCAGACACTTTAACTCAGAGTTATGGCCCTTGCTTAGTTATGCAGTATGCATATGGAGTAAAAATCGTTTCCGCGCTACTTCTCTGCAACTACTGGCTGGAATTCAACGAAACTTTATGGGAACCTTCAATACCAAGAGGAGATGCGCATATCGTCGGCTTGTTCGGGTCAGACACTTTAACTCAGAGTTATGGCCCTTGATTAGTTATGCAATATGCATATGAAGTAAAAATCGTTTCCGCACTACTTCTCTGCATCTACTGGCTGGAATTCAACGAAACTTTATGGGAACCTTCAATACCAAGAGGAGATGCGCATATCGTCGGCTTGTTTCGGTCAGACACTTTAACTCAGAGTTATGGCCCTTGATTAGTTATGCAGTATCCATATAGAAAAATATTTGTTTCCTCACTACTTCTCTGCTACTACTGGCTGGAATTCAATGAAACTTTATAGGATACTAAGAGGAGATGTGCATATAGTCGCCTTGTTCCAGTCAGATACTTATAACTCAGATTTATGGCCCTTGATTAGTTATGTAGTATGCATACATCTCATTGGCATTTCCAGATTTTACTATTTAACACAAAGTTATGGCTCTGTTATTGCCCTGAATATTTATCAAGTTCAAAGAATATTACTGTTTATGCCATGATTAATATATAAATAAAGCCTTATGTCTTCAGCTGTTGTGTTAATAATAACCAGTACTCGGCGGGGGATATAAATTCAACGAATTTGCTTGTTATAATAATTATACTAATCAAGTATTCATATAATCGAAATTTAAATTAATTCATTAAGAAACTATAAACCTTTTCAAATTAAATTTCATTATTTATACTACCGCGTCACCTTTTTTCTGACTTGACTACAAGTTTAATATTTTGAAATTAAAGTGAACTATATGTTCGCTTTTTAAAACAAACCGATTCAAACAATCTCCTAAAATGCCACAGAAAAAGAAAATTTGATCTTTATTTTTAATTTGGCTTTAATTTTTTATCCTTGATTATCGTTCAGTACGACATTATTGTTGTGCTTGTGGTAATTTAGTTTTTTTCTATTTGGCTATTTTCTTGCTGGGTGGTTCCAGTATTCCTCCCTTGAATACTGTTAAATAACCCTTATGCCTGCTTTTTAAATTTGTCTTTTGACGTCTTATCTGTGATATGCAGGCTTCATAACCTCTGATCCCCTTTTAAATTTCCATTTTATTTAGTTCTGCCCATTGCTTTCTCGTTTAGGGCACACGCATGTTTTACTTGGGGACCATATGTCGCTTTTCTTGGAATGGCACTTACGTGCCACATTGTAAGTGCCACATTGAGGTTCCATGATAACCGCCATATGAACACATCTGCGCATGTTTCAAAATTCAAAATTGTACCAGTTCATGTTAAATGTTAAATTCTGCTTAAGCCGGTGCTAAGGGTCGTGGACGGTAACTTGCACTTTTCAATACCGTCCATGAACAGGCTCAATCAAATCGAGCCTGCAACATTTTCAATTTTGTCGTGTTGGACTTTCTTTAGGGATTCTGTTTGTCTCCATTTTATATTTGTATACCATAATTGTAGACAACGAAAATGAATAATCGTTATTTATCAATTTAATAAAGAATCTTATATTTCGTACATTGCAGAGGACGACAACGTATGTGACTACAAGCATGGATGTCAGACAAAGTGTCAAAAATACCCAAATTTTTCCAACGGCCATACCAATGTTACTGAGGAGGTGTTACCACAAGTGGCTGTTAAGATAACATGTAATAAAGGTTTTGAAGTAAAAGAAATAGATACGGCAATTTGTCTAGAAACGGGCTCTTGGAGTGAAGTAATTACATGTGAGCCAGTTGACTGCGGGATATATCAGCCACCTTACCATGTTCATACTCAACAGTCCGTACATGAAACAACAGTTGGGTCATCAATTAATCTTCAATGTGATCCTGGTTTCCATTTTACAACATCTAGTGATAATTCCGTAACGTGTAACGAAAATGGCGTGTGGGTCGGGAATCCAAAATGTGAAAATTTAGGTAAGATATTGCAACTTTTGTCTTAAAATGGTTGTTCACTTTTGTAACATAATGATTCCTTTTATAGTTGTTATTAAATGTGATTTGTATTTGCTGCAACTTCTTTAAACAGACTCAAGCAAAAAAGGCCTGTATTATTTCCAAGTTTTTCCGTTTTGGTCGACGTTCAATGTTTCCTCTTTTGGTTATTTTTACTACAGAATGTCCTTTTTTCTTTGCATTTGTACTGATTGTATGTTTCAGTTGATTTATCTGTAGACACCGATACTGTCCTCATCGGTGGGATGGCAACCCTGTCTTGTGAATTCAGAAAAATACCAAACTGGAGGAATATAAAGTTCAAACGCATTAACAGAAAAAGTGAATCCGTAATAATTGCCTCTGTTGTCAATAATGTAGACTCGTATAAAGTGACTAAAGACAGTGATAGAATAAATATCATTGAAAAAACATTTACGCACGAATCGGGTACATTTAAAGTGATGATTGAGACCGTCAAATGCTCCGATGCTTTCGAAGAACCCGGTGAAATAAACATAACCTGTGATATTGAAACAAGTGATACCGTGAACACATTTCGTGATGTGAAAATTGTTCGAATACAAGGTAATATTTGTTACAGAACTTCTTTTAATCTTTCGCAACATAATTAAGTAATAAGTTAGTGCACAATTGCCTTACATGTAACATGTTTGTTAGTAACAAATCTTCAAGAAAACTTCGACTGCCTTTAGCCTATTTTTAGTTATCTATAAACTTCCTTTTCAATTGAAAAATATATGTCTGCTTTATTGTATACAATGTACATTGATACACTTATTTAACACATTAAGCGTGGTAAGGGTTAAAGGACTTCACTGAGGATTTTTTTACATGACGAGACTGGAAACAATGTTTTCGAGATAAATATTCTATTTGTTGTAGGTCTTGACCAGTAACTTGTATGCAAAATTTCAGATTTTTCGATTACTTCATTTTACCATTATGATCATTCAAATGTGAAATATAACAAAAAATTGAAATTTCAAGAGTCTTAGTTGATCTTTTTAAGAAATTCAAATCTTATGTGGTTAAACCTTTAGACCTCAATGCAGTTTTTTTATTAAAAAGTCGCATGTTCTTTTGATATGATAATTTTCTGGGAATGTTTATCCCTTAGGCAAAGCGGTTAAGCCGGATCTTTTCGTGCCAGCCCAAGTTGTTGAAGGTGATATCAAGTCCACACTTTTTCATTGTGAAATGTTGTTTCCGGAGCCGAACGGTCGCGTGACAATTGACACTGGCAATGATGGTTCCTTTACCACTCTGTTGTCTTCTCCAAACATTGGGTAATCACAATAATCAATAATCATTAATATTGATCAATCGGCAATAAAATTAATCAGACATGAATAATAATTCACTTTTTTTGACATATCTTTTAAATCACAATTAATTCATTTATTTTTATGTCAAATATGTGTTATAATTATGATAATTTTCAATTTCTTCAGGTAACTTCAATAATTTCAGTAATGTTTGTTATAAAATCAATATTTATGTGCCTTTTCCGTCTTATTTGCGTGACATTATTACCACAAATCAAATTGATTGATATCCCATCATTAATGAACTAATAAGAATTTAGTCTTATTAGTATATGGAAAAGGCCGATAATTTTTTTTTCAAGTGAGTGGCCTTATGTTTGGTCCTCTTCAAACGGTGTAAGCCATACGAATGCGGCGTGGATTGATACCATAAGGTTTGACTTGGAGAACTGCTGGTATAGGATGGAAGTGACATTTGGCCTGAAAAATGTTTCAATGGAATGGCACAGGAAACATATTAGATGCACTGCAAAACCGTCAGAAGATGCATCTGACCAAACAGTGTTCACATCTGACAGTGGCGTCGTAAAAGTTATACAAGGTAGCTATATGTATACTATTGAACTTTTTAATTTATTTTTTACTTTCTTCTGCACATATTTAAAATGACAATGCATGTGTTAAAATCTTTTCAAAGATGATAAGAAACCTTTATTTGCTTATTCGATTTGTTCACTTCTTATTTATTTGACAGTTAATTTGAACAACGATAAAAGTATGGTACTTTTGTTTTGGTACATTACTAATTTTACATATACATATATTGTATATGAGACAGTTTTTTTAATTGCTGATTTCTTATTTTATAGATACTTTATGCAATGGTAAAAGTCAGGTACGGTACCCGTATGACTGCGAACATTTCATCGTTTGTGATGACAAAAATCACTTCAATTCAGTTTTGGAAGTGAGAGCATGTGACAACAATGCATGCTATGACGACCAATCTCAAACGTGCAGTCCGTGTTCGCCATCAAGCGGTTGTCCAATAACAGGTAACAGTGATAACTCGGTGACACTTTAACTAATTAAGCCTCTATCACACCTGCCGCACGAAATTGTGTTCGTAAGATTTGTAGAGAAATATGTGCCGAAGAAAAGTCTCAGGCAATTTCGCAGTCTATCTAGATCTATATATCTGTCAATTGGCATCATATGATTTCGGCTTGCAGTAGTCGTAAGATCCTCGTGCGGCAAACCTGCGGTCCTCTAAAGACAAACCCAAAACATTTTTACACGAGCACTTCTAGAAATCGTGCGTCTGCCGTATGATTGTCTTGCGTCTTGAGACATCCAAAATCTGTCAAAAAATCGCAGAATTAATGTGCATGTTGAGAAATCAGTCTGCGACGTTACGGCAACCTTGCGACCTTATAGAATTTGTACGAATGTCTTGCAGCTTCCGCACGAAACACAGCGGATTTTGTCAAAATTCGTTCGTACGGCTGTCATAGGGCTGATGTGATAGAGGCCTTAAGTGATGGTTGACCGAGTATCTACCATTGTCTGACAATAAAAGGCCATGCGCATGATCTCCTGCATACTGTTACCTTGCAATTGTTCAGACCTAGGAATATGATCGTTTGTTTTTCATGAACTTTATTAGCCTTTTTTTATTCATTAAAATACACGAGGCATGGTGAGAAGAGAAAACTTGAAGTAATATATTTGGTAACTTTATGATTTTTCATGATTATAATCATGAGCACGGTTGGGTCGTCTGGAGTATGTGCTGTTTATAAGCTGTAAATATTCTAGAAAAGATTGCAGGGGACACGTTCGTGGTTTCAGTTAGTATTGCATTTCAAACTAACGAGGTATGTTGACCTACTTAACGGCATACATTAGACCGTCTATTGCTTTTGTAAATTGAATTTAAAAACAATTATAAAAGAACGCCTAAATGGTAAAAATGAAAATGTCGCAGACTCAGTTAATTTTGCCTATTTATGAAAGGTAACGATATATGCAAGTAATCGTCCACGACGGTGCCACCGACTGATAGTTTGCACGAGTTGACTTTTTTCTTGATTCTTGTGCCTATATGATATTACATTATTCCTATCTTATGACCCAATTTTCTTTTTAAATTTCAGACATTTTCTTCAGTGACAGACATTCAGCTACTATTGGGGGACAAATTGACATTGTCTGTATCGTGGAAGACTTTAAAGGGCTTACTGACATTGAGATCACAAGGTCTAATGGAATGGTGTCGGTATCATCGATCAAATCAGGAGATAATCCTAAACTACGGAATTTCAAAACAAAATCGAATGAGACTTATGTTAATGAAACGCATGGAACGATCACAATACATGTAGACTTCCTTCTGTGTTCTGATGAAGGAACATATCTATGTAGTCCGAAAGGAACTGGAGATGTACAGTCAGAAGACGTGATAAACCTTGACTTTGATTGTTGAATATAAATATGAGCCGCGTCACGACAAAACCAACATAATGGGTTTGCGACCTGCATGGATCCAGACCAGCCTGCGCATCCGCGCAGTCTGATCAGGATCCATGCTGTTCGCTTACGAACCCTATTACAAGTAGAGAAATTGATAGCGAACAGCATGGATCCTGATCAGACTGAGCGGATGCGCATGCTGATCTGGATCCATGCTGGTCGCAAACGCACTATGTTGGTTTTGTCATGACGCGGCTCATATATTAAAAATTTTGCATGGCAACATACCACATTACCTGTGAAGTCATTATTATTCGTGGGACACGAATTTTCGTGGTTTTCGTGGATAGGGCAATCCACGAATTTAAGACCCGACGAAATTTTACCTCGAAGAATATTGCTTACCATGTCTCTGTTCCATATATCACAACTGTTTTTCCGACCGATTTTTATGCTATGAATGTATACTGATAATCAGGTCAGTGACAAATTAAATCCATAAATAGTTTAGTTTTGCAATATTTAAGAAACTTGAGAAAAAATCGAGTGTATGTTTTCAGTTTGCAAATGTTCGTTGCATATAAACATCAGGGGGACTACCTGATCGTTGTAGGTAACTTGATTGTGTTAGCTAGAATACGTGACATAATCGAGTTAATTTGGGAACCCAGTGCATTTATTAGCGCCGATAAAACTTTACAAGACTAGTGTTTATATGATCCATTTAAATGAATTTCAATATGTATTTATGGGACTGCTATTCCAAAAATATCAAAACGCCGCAGTCTTTTTACTAGATTCACACGTACATATCTAACTGTATTGAGCCTAACTATATTAATTTATATGCATATAAATTACACAGTCGATGTGACGTAGTGTGTAGTTTTTGACCGATTAGGGTGTAAACTTTTTAACTCAATGGTTAAATTGTGGCAGATGTCAAATAATTTATGCGATATTTACATTGGATAAATATAGGGGCAGTGTTACCAATGGAGCTTCGTATCATGTCACACAACTTGTAAATTGCTGTCAATTACTGGCAGTAACTGTGTTACTCCCACAGGCAAAGATTAAATTTATTGACAAGAGCTGTTTTATATACACGCGGTAAGTAAAACAGCGCGGTGATTAAGTTGAAGATTACTTTCCATTGCTTATTATTATTTTTTTAAAAGAAAATGAAAATCCACGAATTTAAGACCCCACGAAAATGCCAGTTTTGATAAGACCACGAAAATTCATGCCCACGAATACAAATTATTTCACAGTAATGGGTTTGCGACCAGCATGGATCCAGACCAGCCTGTGCATCCGGGCAGTCTGATCAGGATCCATGCTGTTCGCTTACAAACCCTATTGCAAGTAGAGAAACTGATAGGGAACAGCATGGATCCTTATCAGAGTGCGCGGATGCGCAGGCTGGTCTGGATCCATGCTGGTCGCAAACACACTATGTTGGTTTTGTCATGACGCGGCTCATATATTAAAAATTTTGCATGACAACATACCACATTACCTTAATTAAATAATATTTATTGAATATATAAATATAGACCTTTTTACGACGCGGTCCGTTGCTATGAGAAATCGACCGGAAGTAGTATTTCCACGCACATGCGCAATCTTTGTAGGGCAAAAAGGCGTAGTCTAACAAAGAAAATTAATTAATATACTTATACATATAGAAGTTCATATACTATTCCGAGTAAGTTTAAGGTAAAATGTAGAATATTATACAAAATAGCTTTTAACAAAAACATAAAATATTTCTGTATAGCTTTGTTGCAAAGATTGCCATAAAAAGGCATAGAAAAGGAAATTGTTTAAGAATTCCCCCTTTCGATGGGCCCACTTACGGTCACGGACCTGACATTGAGATGTTTTAAAGAAAATGTTGAATTATATATTTTATTCAAATGGGAGTCAATTAAATTGTTGTTGAAATAATTCATAAAAAAATATAAAAGAAATTGAGGTTAATGAGCATTCTGAAAATAATCAGAACAGACGCGGTGATAATGCATTTTTAGTGTTCAGTTTACCTGATTTTATCCTTTAATTGACTGTGATGCAAAACAGATAATTTTTAAGTCACATAAATACTTTTAAATAGTTATTTTTTCACAATTTTTAAATTAAGTGAAATAACACTCATTTTATCCAGTTCCTCGTAACACAAATTAATATTTTTATTGCAAGTGACACTAATTGTCATTTCACAAATCAATAAACATTGATGAGATCGGTATATATAAAAGTTACTTAAATTACGTTTTTCATAAGTGTACGTGATTAACTATGTCATGGTTCTAAAACGTCCCGGTTGAATGATATTTATACAATATCTAGCTGGAAACAAACAATCTGTTTGACACATACCGCATGGCCAATCCAAAGGAAATGTACACTACACATTGTGTAATATTATGTAATGCAGGGGTAATACAATTTAATCTTTAACACCCTGCTGTTTAAATTTAAATTACGGATGAAAAAGTCGTGTAATGATAACTTAAACAGACGTCTTTTTGTATGCGCCTTTTGACCATTGGATTATTAGTCCTGAATTTCTATTATATCTGTAATAAATATCAATTGACGTTTCAAGTATTTACCGCTTTAAGTCTTCCCAAATTACTGTTTTCTGGTTGATATAACATGGAATCACGACTATTAAAGCCTTAAAGTATATCATACACTGTGCGCTTTTGCCCTTCGCAGAATGCGCATGCGCGAAATACAACATTGGTTTCTAATGAAGAATCGTATTGTCAAAAGGTCTATACATCAATTTTTTTACATATTATACAAATTTCACAATTTACATAAGGGTTAGGCCAAAAGTTCTTACAACATTATCATTGGCAATTCCAGTACTTGTATACCGAAGCTCAACTTACGCGCTAGTTTAGTAATTATGTAATCGCAGGTTCTTTCCCATCTCCAAACAGTGAAGAAATGAATCGAAAAAAAGAAAGATCATCAACATGTATCTTGCAGAACGAGATTAATCTTGTTGTTCAGCTGGTTCATTGAGTTTTAGTTCCCTCTTAGTTTCTAATAACCGTTATTTTCTTCTAAATGATTTGATCATTTAAAGATTATTCTTAATGAACTTGCGTAATTTTGAATTAAACATTTGTTATGGTATAAAATAAAGACCTGTGGCGATTTGTATTAAAACACTAGAAAATACAGTGAAATTTTCATTTTTTGTTATTACAGTTTCGGTTTCGAAATAATACCAAATTTCTTACTTGATACATTGATGCAGTTACTCAAAAATCTCAGAAAACCAGATGACGTGCAGGGATTTTGAGGGAATGTCCCCAACCGTACAATTTTTCAAAAGCATTCAACATATTGTATAGATAGTGTATGAACATTTAAATGAATGTGTCATCAATGCAAAAACGTATTTGTGTCTATAAAATGGGATATACCCTGGATCATATTACTAGTGTATATAGAATGACATTTCTATGGGTTGTAACAAGCGATATAATACAGATGGTTTCACATTAAAAATAATGCGAATTTAGTCGTAACAGACTCGTAGTATTTTATCATAAGTTAAGTTCAGTGTAAACTGTATGATATTATATAATTGACATTATTCTAACATGCTTATCAAATCGACCTGTTGTAAACACATTGATTAAGCTATTATATTCGAGTATGATTGTCACAGGGTGAGATAAATGTGCAGCCTGATCGGAACCCGAACCCGGGAACCTCTACCGACTGACTGAGCTATCCGGCCGCTTTCACATCTTCCCCTCTTAATAATGAACAGTTCTGAACAGTGAGATGATGAATGATGAATATATATTACTAGATGGACTCTTGTCATTGGCATCCGTAATGGGAGTAGCACGTGAAGGGTCTCGAAGGTATTTAACTTTAAACGAAATGTCTCTTGAATAAGTCAGAAAAGGGATTTTCATTACAAACTGATTCCTTAAGGTGCGTTTTTCATGGTCTTCTTTGAGACTTACACTATCATCATCATCAGCAGCAGCAACTGCAGCAGCATCAGCATTAGAAGCAACAGCTGCAGCACCATCGTCATCAGTCATACTTATTATAATCACCACCACTATTATTATCATCAACAATATCAGCATCAGCTGTCATCGACATTATAATCACCACCATCATCACCGTTGTCTTTGTCAACATGATCATCAACATTTCATTCATTTATCTGTAATTATTGTTGTGATGATAATTAATTAATAACAATTGTTGTTTTTGTTACTGCTCTTTTTGTTGTCTATATAATGTTTAATGTATTTAATTTTAATTCGCTATGCAGAGTTTATATTAAATCAATATATATAATGAATCTCTCAAAATAGATTTACCTTAACTTTCAAATATATATCTATTTAACGAATAAAGAAAGAAATGTTCAAGTTCGTATGATACTCATCAATTACTTATCGTTTTTATCCCCCTTAAGTGTGCTCGGTATTACCTTCGATTAAGCGGGCAGCAATAATTATATTTCTATGTTTTCACTACACAAGTTTTCTAAATTGCAAAGACAACTTCCTATTACATGTTTTATAAAATGCGTCGCAGTTTATCTCAGATTTCTATCAGTATTAAGGGTTCGGTTATTATGTTATATCATGTTTGTTGGGTTTCTTTTTTTTCCAAACATTAAAAGGCACTGTGACTCTGCTGAAATATAACTATGAAAGACCAGTGACAATATGAGTAATGACAAGGAAGTGTCATTCGATATTTATGTATTTACACTACAAAAGAATCCACTCTGCGTGAGGTATTAACAACTTACAGTAACTTTGACACTGCTATTTTTTCTAAAATATAATATTTGTTTTGTTATCCCAAGTGCAATGATACCAATAATAAGATTTTTTTTTTAAAACCTATTTTTACTTTAGTATGTCGGCGAAATATGTGAATGAATTATAATTACGAAGACGATCCTAAGTTGTTTATGATAAAAGAACTGAACTTTAAATAACTTCTTTTCAAAAGACTTAAACAATTAAATAATGTAAAGCCTTATTGTTTATGTTTCTGTGCAACCGGATGTGTGCGGACATGAATTGCACCTCAGCGATTTGTCATATTTACTGGAGCCTGTTGTAAAGCGTTACGTGTGATCTTCTTGGAGCATTATCCTTGGAGCTTCTTGCGGAATTATCCTGGGAGCTTCTTGCGGAATTATTTTGGGAGCTTCTTGGGGCATTATCCTGGGAGCTTCTTGGGGCATTATCCTAGGATTTTCTTGCGGAATTATCCTGGGAGCTTCTTGCGGAATTATTCTGGGAGCTTCTTGCGGAATTATTCTGGGAGCTTCTTGGGGCATTATCCTGGGAGCTTCTTGGGGCATTGTCCTAGGAGCTTCTTGGGGAATTATCAGTAGAAGTAGTTAGCTCGCTTCCTGAACCTCGTTCCTAACAGGAAAGATACGGATACGAGGAAAACGGAAACTGCATAATAGGTCCAACTATTTGAACTATTTAGAAACCAGAAGCTTAAATGGTCCTAGACTAGATAATCAGAAGGACAGTCAAGGAAATAATATTAATCCGTAACACATTAATAATAACATACGATGCGTTGTATCTTGGAAAAAAGAAATGATTAACACTCTCAGTGCTAAATTCAAGTTGAAAACACATATGGTTATAAATGCGAATGTATAATAAAAATAAATTTAACAAAAATCTGTGCATACAATTAAACTGTGTCATTATCACTGTTATATCACAAACCCTCCCGTCTTCAATAGAATTTTCAGGCAGTCTATAACGCACGTGCTATGGATTTCTGGTTGGCCTCTAATTGAATCATAAACCTTCTGGTTTTAACATATATATGTCCACCAAAGGATAACCTTGTCAAAGAAAAACGCATGTATAGAAACCGTCTGCTAAATCATGAAGAAATGCACTAAACTTGAAAGGAAAGCAAAATGAAAACATAATTTGAATTTCACCTGTTCATTTACTATATACGCTTTTATGGGCATAATGTCACTTTTACTTAAAAAATTGTACCAGCAACAATTAATAAACTTTTAGGCTTTCTTTTATATTTCAATATACCGGTACAACAATCATGTTGGGGAAAAAAGCTCAGTATTTATTTATAAAGTTTTATTCAACATTCCATTAGGCTGAAAAGGCAATGAGGATAAACATAGCATAAATATATACATACAACGAACATTGCATGAACTTATCAAAAAGAAATGTGACACCCATAACCATAAATTCCAAAAAGAATCTGTATTGGAGGAAGTAACATATATATACTAGTATTTAATTTAGATACATATAAAATAAATTCATTTATAAACATATGGTGACTGCAAATATAAATCATATTTATCATTGCAGATTTCTATTGGTTGTTGAATGCTATTTATTTTCAGCTAAGAGATAATTTGAAAAAAAATAAACGCACAATGGTTACATCGATTTACATCTTTTAACCATTATATTTGCCTGATGTTTCAAAGAGGAGTAATTTGATACCGTAAATGGTTATAAGGGGCAAACTGAACTTTTAATTGTGGAGTCCCATTGCCAAAATTTGTTGTATCATAATTCATTAACAATTTGTTTGGTTGCTATCCGTGAAATTAAAGTATTAATGGTTCATTTATAGTTATTGTACGTAATCAGTGTTTTAATCATGTTATGTATTGGCCTGCACATTATAATATTATTGTTTACAACTGTCACATGGCAACCTGACAAAAAACACAAAAATAATTGATAATTGAAGACTGTGATTGAGTTTGTCCATAACATAAGAGGCAAAATGAATTTTATTGGCTAATTAATTTTTCACTCTTTATAATTCCATGTTCAAGTACGTTCGCTTAAATTCATGATCGTCGTAAAATTAGTTAACATTTAGATTTTTATATCTTTATCCTGATTCATTATATTCTTTGTTCAGCACCGGGTATTTTGAATACGTTCTTTGTATTCTAAAGTATTTTGTATTGAAACCATACAAAAGAAAATAATATCAGCTTGCAATCTTTATCTTGTGACAATAAACTCTATCCATCTTAAGTTCACTGTTTAACCTCAATATATATATCCGGTGTCGTGTAATAATCACACGGGCGTAATATTACTACCCATGCGAAAAAACCGCAATTATTCATTGATATATAATGACTGCATTCAAGATGCAATAAATCCCCCTTTTTTTACAAATTGTTATCTAAAAAATTTTGTCATATCATTTTAAATACAATTCTACTTAATTCGAATTCATCTTGCTTTTTTTCTTTAAAAGAAAGCATTGGATGATTCAAAGAAAACATATTTACGAATCATGACTCAAATATTATCCATTTTAAATTTATTCAACTTCATGTACTATTAAATATCAACATTCAGTGGACGTCCGCTCGGGCATCTACTTTAATGAATAAGTATATATGACTCGGGATAAGGCTTTAAAAGACGTCCGGTTAGCTCAAAAGGTAGAGCATTGAACTGTGAATCGGGCGACATGGGTCCGATTCTTGGACGGTGCAATCATTTTTGTTGTGATTGATCATGAAATTGATCATTTCTATGGTCATTTACCCTGTACCACTGTTTTTGCATGTACAGAAGTTATCGGTTCCTTGCGAAAGTATTGGAAAACTGCTTGGCAGCTGTCCCTTGAACGATGAGGTGGCTAAACTGTGTTCTGGTTAACTCAATGTGACCTACTGCCGTGATCCGGAGATAAATCTACAAACACCACCACAAGACGTTAAAACATGATCCCATTAAAAGCCGCTTTATTACCTGTTCGGTCCAGATCCAGATAGTCCTATTGAAATAGAGAAACGTTGTGAAGACATATCTAGATACATGTGGTTTCTTTACATACACGCATATAAAAACAATACTTTTATTTTTCAAAAATATGTGTATACGTTATCGTGAAATGATAAACAACATGGCAGAAAAAGGAATAGAGGTGTTTGGGCGAAAATTGTAGACTTAGTTTGTAGCAATATCTTTCTTTTTATACACGAAATGATGAGAGACGAGGAAAAGTACAACATCTCCCACGCTCTCTCCTGGCAACTTGCATTAACTTCCACTGCGCAAGTTACAACAGATAAATTACTGACGAATAAAGGTAATTAGAGAATGAAGTAACAGTTCACATTGCTTCAACAACCAGTGGTGACTGTCGCTGAATTTAAATTTTACTCCAGAATTTGTGTATTTAATCTTGCAGGATACGCATAGAATTATGTTAAGCCAGGAAGACTACCAGCTCAGTGGTTAAGGAAGGCTTCAACTTTTATTATGTTGAAGATATATGTTTGAGGTTTTTTGAAAGGCTTTTCGATTATTATGTAAAGGGTATTTATTTGGGCTTTTTTGTGTGAGATGAAATCTACTTCTATCTGTTGTTTTTCAAAATCAGTATTCTCTCGTTGGGCGTAATCACGAGTGAGAAAAAACTGTTTTTTGTTTTGTTTTTTAAATCATGGAAAGTATGATATTGGATTTATAATTTTGACTGTGAAGTAATCAAATATGTATATTTTTTCTTTAAAATAAGTAACCAAGTTATAGGTATTCTACTAACGTTTTTCGACATACTTGTATTGGTAACGGATATATATGTTTGAAATTTATGGTTCGCTAATTGCCTTTTCCTAGAATAATAATTGTAGTTGTATATATTTGCTTGAAATTGAAAAGCGTTGCAACGATTTTATTCAGATCAGGCTAAAATAGCTCCAAATATGATTTTCAATTAATTTCTGAGTATATCCGTTTTACGTTGTCAAGTTTATCTTTGTTAGAAATAGATTTTTTATTGTTAAGACTTTTTGTCTTTTGGGGTATTCTTTAGTGATTTCGTTTTTTTTTCTTTCTTTCTTCCTTTCTTTCTTTCTTTTTTATTTCAGTGCAGTTCCTTTAAAAACTTAAAATAAAAAAGGTTATACACCACTGTGTTAACCAGTTTAAATTTACAGTTGAAACATTGTCATGCTATAATGATAATTACTAACCATTTCATAAAAAACAACAACTGGAAATTAATTGTAAATATATTTTATTAAAAACACATGAATGAGTTGTATAAGCATAGCTATCTAAAACAGTAAATATTAAGCCACCAAAAAGAACCGTATGATAAACATGTAATATAATTTGATTTATTAATAGACTTGAGAAAATTTTGGAAGTTGTTTTATGTTGTTTGATGTAAGTGTTTTACAATAAATGTTGTTGATGAAAATGAAGATGATGGTAGTGATAATGCTGTTTTATATGATGGTGATGACGGTGATAAATAATATGAAAGATGTGGATTACGGTGGAAGCTGTTGTTGTTGTTGTTGATGATGATGATGATGATGATGATGATGATGATGATGATGATGATGATTAACAAGATAAATAAAAGATAAAATAAAATAAATAACCCCAAACGCTACAATAATTTAAAGACGGTGCCGGGAGTAGTGCTACATTTTACAAACTTAAAGAAAAACCGGAAAATTGTGAGCATGAATATATTACTTTTCCGAAACGTTAGCGATTAAAGAATATTATGATTGGACCAAATGTTTGAAGAAACCTTAGGATAACCATCCTACCGTTTAATAATTTGTCCCTAAAAAGAAGTTATCAGCTGCCGGAAACCACTTTTAACAAACAAAAATCGTAACACACAAAATCTTTATACTAATTGTAAACGAACTAAAAAGGTGAAGAAAAAAACAATGTGCACAAAAGAAGAGTTTATATTTAGTAAAAACCTAAAACAGAGGAAGGCAATCCACATTGGCAATTCAAGATACACTTAGATACATATGCTACGTATTTCAAAGAAATTTACTTTTTGAAGATACATGAATGTTTGGACAGCCTACCTTTATAATTTAACTATTTGTCATACTTTTACCGATCAAAAGTTTCAATTTCCCTTTTACATAATCATTTTTAGATGAAATATTTTATCCGTTTATCCTTTAAACAATAAATGTTTGAAGTTTAGTATAAAACTCCATAATAATATTCTGCATTCGTCATATCGTGTATTGGTTACTAAAGAAAAAAATCTACAATAATTGCCTTTGTAACATTTTAACCTAACATTTTCGACTTATAAGTATGTTTTATGTTTAAAAGTTGTACAGTGCGCAAAATTGAAATTGGAACTAACTCGAATTTTCAATATCCATAGATTCCAACTATCAGCAAGGACGTGAAAATGTGGTGATAGAAATAGTCCATGCTGTCAAACTTTAAATACACAATAAATTATCATTTTAGGGTTGTGAATATTTATACATTTATTCTTAAAGTTTAATTCAGTATTAAATTGAATAAGTTCGTAAGTAAAGATCTGTTATACAAAAATAATTATGTTGATAGCTCGTCTTAAGATTTATACGTTAAAACAAACCACGATAAACTATATATGAATCTTGTTGATAAGTGTTAGGTGCATAATTTGATGACATATCATATACACACGTATCAGAGCAAAATATTTTTCACCACAATGATATTCTACCATCATATTTATTTCATATTAAAATAATTGTATCATATCATATATTTGTTCATATTACATTACTCTGGAACTCTACCAAACAGTTCATAAGAATATCAGTATGATGCATGTCTATTGTTTGTTTAATACTGGAAATAATAATGTGCTAATTGTTGACTTAACCACTTTAACCCATTGATATATATCATCAAGTTTGATCTTCAAAAGAAGACTTGTTAATTATCTTTTTAAAATTCCTAGAAGAAATCTATATAGGCTACAGTCAGAATCATCATGACTATGTTATTCGCCAAATATCACGATTTTGTTTTAGTCATTTTCAAAAGTACAAGATTGACAAATACAAATACATCATTACCAATCAATTGTTAGAATCTCATCTATAAGTTTGGTTGATAAAATTTAATTGGTATCAATAACATCAATGTCATAAAAAGTGTAACTTTCCTGTCTATGTAAATGTCTTTACAACACTCATTAATTACTTCACATACTACTAGGTCAACAAGATGAACAATATTTACTGTTACATATTGGGTCTGAGTCCCAAAGAGAACACGAGCCTGAAGCACACTCTAAATCATATAAACGATTGCCAACACATCTAATGAATCGTCTGCAATTATAGGGATGAGGGTCAAACTGTCCTGTCCCTTCATCGAGACAAACATCTGAAAACATAGAAAATACATATCAAATAGTTCTGTAACAAATGTCTTTCATCAGAGTCAGAATCCTTAATCTGAAGATTTTGTGTGACGTTTTTTGCGCTTTTAATTTTAAAAAGTTTTTTTTTTAGATTTATGATCTACGATTTCAAAATGTAATTTTTGAGCTTGAAATCATATTAAGCCAGTGTGACCAGATTCGGGTTACTTTGATAGGGGTATATGTTTGGATTCGATCAGGTTAGGTGTTTAAGAAACGGCTTTGATACATATATAAGTATGCTGAAAATATAAACATGTAGTAAAAATATGAGTTTAGCACAAGATACCTATTCATGAATATGAAAAATAAGAATACATTTATTCTTTAATTAAGTGAAAATCCTTTTGAAATCATACAGAAAAATTTGGTAACTGTTTCCAAGACTATTACTAACAGCTAAGTATGTATTTGCGTATCAGCATAGGAAAATTAAACAAAAAACACTCAAATCCCCAAACCTCCAAATCTTAAGGTATACATCACTCTAAAGCCATCGCGAATTTTATGAAGTACCAATAAATGATACCAAGAATGATAGCATTGTTTCAAAATTGTATTATCATGGGTTGGTGATTAATAAATTTCTATATAGCTTATTTTATAAATGATTTTATAATCCAACGTATAGAACACGTTTTTGTTATTGGTTTCGTGAATTCTGGGTAAACACAAGGGAAGGTTTTTATAGAAAATAACAGTTATAAACCTTATGTTTACAAAAATATTTAGAATTGTTTATGACCGAGAAAGTAAGATAATAATTACATTAACACTGATCCTGATTGATAAGATGTTGTCATATAGATACCAAGAGGTTTTTTTTGTACAATAAAGTAAAACATGTGTTGTGATAATTTACTTAAGATTATACTGCTTTCGTAGCATCTTTCAAACGATTCGTTTTTTCGTGAGTGTTTTCTACTCTCAATGATTTCTTTTAAATTTGTTACATCAAACTTTACTGTATCAAATGAAAGAACATTTCAGACATTAGGGGCTTTCTTGTTATCCTAAATGAGACACTTAACTTGTACCGATAAATTAATTTAAAATCATTCAATCTAAGGCACGACTGGGTAGTAAGAAATCAAATGAAACATTTATCTAATCCTTTACTCATCGCAATCGCCAACTGACGATAATTGCATTATGGAAAAGTACAGCAATAGCCTGATAAAAACAAAGAGTTGTTGGCAAACATAATATTAAAGCAAAATCTGTCTGTTAATTTTCTATCAAAGGGCAAACTTACTTTTCAGGATTCGAAGTTCTTTCTCGGCACTAGATGTTAATATATTATTGTTTTCATCTGTGACCACACATCTAATAGTCGAGCCATTCATGGTACGCGGAAACATGTGTTGCGTTCTTTCAATAGAGGAAGCTCCATCGCAATCTCCATTTTCAAAAGTTTGTGTGATGTAATCTTTGAAGGAATCCGAACCTTTAGCTTTATTTTCGATCTTCAACCTCCTGTTATTTGCAGGATATCCAAGGAATGCATCACACTTGAAAAGATCCTCCCATTCCGACATTTGTTCTTCTACTATTGTTGTTGGGAGGCGTAAGTTAGGGATAGTAGGTGCAGCTTAAAACAAAAATGTATGAAATACTCATTTATACAACGCAACGGACACGAGACAATGTTCATTTTTTGTTTAGCCTCATTTTAGAATTAATATAATCAAGGAAATCAATTTTAATGTAAACAGCTAAAAGGACAGTTGAAGTCATACTCCAATTTGTATAATATAAAGACATTAAAAAATGTAATTGCAAAAAGTACAAACAACTGAGTACCGGAAATAAGTCCAAGACGTTTAATTGTTGGTTTATAACGACCAAAACAATTTAAAGTGGAGATTCGAGCCCGTCCCTGAAAAATAATAATTCTTTCAGCTTCCAGTACTCAGGCAACCGATTAGAAAAAAAAGAAAACAGTAACTAGCTTTAAGAATGCGAGAAGAAGTTTGACAACACGATAAATAACATAACTTGCTGACCTATGACTTTGAAATCCATTGATGTTTTCAAGGTGTTGATTCCTATAGCTTTGCATGAATACATAACCTTATTGTTACACGATACGTTATGTATGGTCAGCGTCGTGGTGAAAACTCCGCTGTTTTCAGACAGGGTTCCATGTACAGAAAACTCTGCTTTATTGTTACATGTTCCTTTGCCTGTTGTGTTTACTTCACATAGTGTTTCCTCGGTAGAAAACCTACTGACGACAACGTAGCTAAGATTTGTCGTTTCAGTGAGGATACATTGAATCGATTTGGTGTTTCCTACAGTTCCCGTCTTGCTTTCCTCAGTGAAATATAAAACTGAAATGTAAGATTTATTTAGAAATTCCTGACAGATAACAATTTACCAAAGCTAAAATAAAACTAAAATCACTGTGTAAGTCATACATTATGGTATATAGAAAACAATTGTGTTCATTTCACAATGATTATATTTGGTTATTATGTTTTTAGTGTTCGTAACATCAAATTATTTTTGTATATTAAATAAATCTTTACTTCAACAAATACTTACTTGGATCAGTAACATTCAAAATCTCTACATTCGACGACAGTTTGGTTCCATTCGTAAAACTGGTAACACATTGATATCTACGGCCTTCCATTTCGTCTTTGACTTCAAATTCGTGCGAAATTGTTTCAACATTTTCACATGTTTCCGGATTCAGATAAATTTCTGAACTTGAGGGTGGCAATTTTAGAACGACATTATCTTCTGTGATGCTCATAATATGTGTGGGTATACCAATGTTTCCTGTACACTTCAAAGTCGCCTCTTGTCCCTTGTAGAACTTATCTTGTCCTAGCGTAAGAACAGGCACGGATGGATTCACTGGAAAATAATGAAAACTACTTGTTCTTCTTGACAAAAAGATACTATTTTATTCATTCAACTCATTCAAAAAAAAACTTTAACAGTTAATGTGTTAGTTGTATGCTATTATAGGCTAAGAGTGGGAAACATTTTACGGCTTTTGAACATTTCCATTGTGACTTAATGTTAGGTTTAACATAAGGATTCGAATTGTCAAAAGCCAATGCAAAGATTTTTAAATGAATACATATTTACAAGAACCATAACTCCAGCTAATCATTATCTAAAAACGTAGTACATAAGAACCTTTACAATATATATTTCGTGTAAAAAAATAACTAAAACTGAAACAAAATGCAAGATATAACATTCATTTTTAAGTGCATGGTAATAAAGCATACTTTTAAATTCTATTCTTTCCGACTCCATCACCCAGCTGTCATCAATTTTTACAGTACTTATGTATACAATATCACCGCCTTTCTTACATGCATCGCTACATGTTACGTTTCGAAATTGAAAAGTCAGTCTTGCTGTCGTATTGTTTATATCACTATCTATCAGGTCGATGTGTTCTTCTATGGTCAGGTTGGAGAGCGTATCATTCTTCTGTATAGAGACAATAGTGATCTCTGTGCCGCTACAGTTTTTTCGCAGTTCTAGTGTACTCCATCCTCGAATATAAGTAAGCTGTGTAGAAATACTAAAGTATTCGCCTATGTCAACTGTTGACGCTGAGGAAGATATCTGTACTGAAATTGTAGAAGCACGTGTTCAAAAACAAATAAATACATATTTAATGTTGGCTTTAAGATAAGCAAATTAATCGATGGGGTGAATTATACCCCAGTTTTTATATAATTGAGTGATTGATGTTAATCAAAAGATTAATCTGGAAAAGGGGTCACGATTTCCACACTCTCTGTCAATTCACTGAATGTTAGAAATGATTTCTATTGTCAGTTTTACAGGATACAATATTCCACATTATATTTTATTTCGAAAGAAAAAGAGCTTCCATAATGATGAAAATAAATAGAACCTCAACAAAATTGAAAAACATATGTTATAAACAATTGAAATAGCTAATCTATAAAGATATGAAAAAAATAAGACATGAACCGTTCACTTAATTTAAGCATTATTCTTTTAAATTTACAAACAATACCTCTGTATAAGAATAGAGAAATCATATAAACCATGTAATCAAAAGGAAAAACATAGTAGTATTGCCCTGCTAAAGGGTTTATGTTTTCAAACGATTTTTAAATGTACCCTTACTTTTTGTGGTTGTCACATTCAAGAGAATACTCTTTTTATCGCGACTACCATCATCACCACGAGCAATACACTGTAACTCAGCTCCATGCATATCGTTTGTTATAACGAATGATGCATTAACAATTTCATCAACTTGGCAGCCGGAAGAATGTGTTGAATCAATGACAGAGTTAATATCCTTGCTTGTTTCCTCGTCCTATATAAAAGAAATAAAGTTTCCTTTTAAAAGGAAAGGCTTGCCCAGTTGTGTCATCATCCCATCCCTTTAAAAATGTTTTTATTTCAAAAACCTCCTAAATCAACTCTTTATGATAAAGAAAGTATTATAAAAAATAATAATGAATTGACCTTATATACCAGTAAAAAAACAAGGTACCTATGTTTTTACAGGTAAACAGGGTCAATTTATTATCAGTATTTTTTTAATTATTTGTATATCATAAAGGGTTTATTTAGTGTTTCTTTTTGTTTTTATTTTTTCGGAAAAATAAGTTTCACTTTTAAAGGGGTAGGTAGGGTAACCCCAAGACTGGACGAGCACCTGTGCCCATTTGTGCCACCAGTGATATGCATGCAAATTTGTGCAAAAGAAGGACCAGAAATCCACTGATTATAACTGATCCGGAACATGCTGACGATAACAGTAACAATTTTTTTTGTAAAAACGAATACTTTTTGTCAAAAACGATTTGAAATCTAGTCTCTATTGTATAAAACTAATAAAGAAAATAATCAATCGTAAAAATACTAACATTGGCTCTCCCACGTGGAGGAAATAAAAGTAGCTATCAGGAAACAAGTGTGCACATTTCATTTCCAGAGAGAGAGAGATAGAGAGTCATTTGTTTTGGCAGTTGCTAATTTCATTTAAATAACAGCTTTATAGACAATTAAATGCACTAAAAGACTTCATAAAGTGATACCAATTAATATGCATGTATCAACTATGTAACACCTAAAATATCTATGTCACTTGTCTATTGATCACAGATAAACAGACAACACAGGATGCGCTATCTGTAGATCAGCACGTGGTGAAGTTAATAATATGCATGGGCGTTTAGATGACGTTAAGCTGTAGTTTTAACTCCACGTTAGAATTGCGTCTTTAGAAATATAAGACACATATCTAAATATAACTCAATCGCAGAGCTATGCAATTTTAAAATTTTAACTTGTTCGCACTAATTCTCTGTGTGATTCGGTCACGATCGTTTGGTAAGTAGGACCGTCCTAGAGACGGAATACTACTACAGTACCCATTCTCTATTGTATAAAACTAATGAAGACAAAAATCAATCCTAAAAGAAACTTACTTTTGCGTCTTGAAAACAAATTGAAACGGAACAATTTCGTTTATAATTTATTTCTTCCTTCTACCGATTAATGAAGTAAAATAAGAAATCCTATTTATATAAACAAACTGGGATTACCGAAGTAACTTATCCGTAATGTTACTTCGTTTGATTTTTTAGTATGAGGCGATCGCCCGAAATGTCACGATTGCAGCGGAAACCTAGACTAATTACCTGTTCCATTATGCACTAAATGTAAGCAGGAAACCACCTAACCGGAACAAATGGCAAAAATAATACATTTTTAACATAATATCAAGGACGAAGTTGCGAACGTGATTGTGATCTTTGAAAATATTAGCTATAAAATATGTTTCATTATACGGTGTCTTCTTAAATTACTTTGTAAAATTATGGCATCATATTTCAAACAATCAACAACCAGTATACAAGTATTTCTTATTAAGTGTCACAATAAGCAGGGCCTAGCACAAAATGCACTATTGAATATTTGTAATAAGATTGAATTTGTATTTGATATAGAATTATAAAACAATAAAGCAAATTATATTATGTAAATTTGGTTGATTCTGATTTCTGTCAGAATTAAATCGTACTGATGAAAGTAATTCTGGTTATTTTCACATGTACGGATTTGGGGATGTTACGTCTAAGTCACATTAGTCATAAATACAAAAATATTACACCTGTAGCATTGTAATGGATACCTATCAAAATAATAATATTAACGGGTTGTTTCTTTTGGAGTTTTTTTTGTAATAAGCTGCCGTTATTCAACGAGTCTGTGAGTCTATGAAGTCTGTGTTAAAAGTGAGATAATTACAAGCGCTAGGGGGAGTGGACGGTTACAGTCCATTACAGTCCATGAAAAGACCCAATGAAACCGACCCTATAACATTTTTAATAACGTTTAAATATCGTTTTAATCCCCGTTGTATTTTACAACATCAAAAAGACATTATAGATGTATCAAAGATCTCACATGTGTTGTCATGTAAAAAAATAAGTGGTCGCAGTGGTATTATGATACCACTGTCTTATTACAAATGTGAGGGTCTCTAGATTTATACCCAACTATACAAACTAAAATTACAATCAAGTCTTTTATGAGAATTCGATATTCCGTATAATGGTATCTTACACATCGTAAAAGAAATATCTGGATGCTCCTACAACAACGGAATATTGCCTTATCAATGGCACTAGACTCCAAAAAATAATAATAGTTAGTCGCCCAAACAGGTTTACGGCGCAAAATATGCATTTGTTACGGTCGAGCCTATGTGGTCTTCAAAGTACATTAACTTGTATTTGTTCGCTTTATACTCAATTAAACTCTATAATGATTTATTTATTTACATCACGTGATACAAAATGCTGTAAGTGCATTTGTTTTATTTGTTAAGGTGTGAAATGAATACATTTACCGAACGTGTCTATGAAAGAGTTACAAAGCAAGTCTATATGGAATCCATTAAATTTCTAATGGGCTCTAAGTAAGTGTGTAAATACAATTACAACAAAACTGAATACTTTACAACACGGTGTTTTAAAGCAAATTTAATTCAAACAACGTTACAACGTCCATATGTTATAAAATCTTAAAATGCATTTCCTTGTCTTTGAAATATAAAATTGACGATCATACCCAATATATTCTCACAGATATGTCTCCGAGTTTTTTCTCGTTTTCATCTTTACCAATAAGTCCCTTGCACACGACATTGGCATCGTCCCCTTGAACATAGGATGCTGAAGCGATTATTTCCTTTATTTTTGAAGCTGTTTCTGAAACAAAAATGTTCAATCATATGATCCAAAGCATCATTTGTCAGACATTATTCCTTATTTATCCAGTATTTGATAAATTTGGACAGATAAATTATTTTCTATGCTTAAAAACGGGATGATTTACCTAATTTCAAAATATGATATAAGTCGGTGGTTGTAAAGATTACGAACTACTGGTATCAATAATATAAATAAAAGAAAATGAATATGGTAAGTACTTGATAGAAAAGAGATGTTACCTATCACTTTGATTTCTGTCGACGTGTTTTTTTGGTCTGTAGGAACTTGTATATCACCAACAATCACGGCACATGTGTAAACCCCTGTGTCATCACAGTTAGCTGTATCGAACGTTAACCGAAGGTGAACACCATCTCTGAAAGTTGACACGTTTTCCCGGAAAGTGGTTGCACCATACCGTATACCACTGGTATGGTTGTAAGAAATGCTGAATAATTGGTTCGGAACAGAATCATTTGAGTGGCCAGATCGAAATACCATGACTGTTTGCCAACTAGATGATTCTCTGAGGCGACATAAAATATCAAACGAATCCCCAACGTTTACTGGAGAACTTGTTGTCTCCGTTGTTAATATACCTGTAAATCACATTATAGAAACAAATGCATGCCAGTGGTTAGCCGTATGCATTACGTTTGTTTATTAACATACGGGTTATTAGTTACGAAGATTTTGACTGGAACCTATGTCCAATACAAAGCTTTGTAAATATATTTGTTAGGAATTAGTTATGTAGTAAACAACGGATTTTAACATGTTTAAGAATATACGAGATAAGCAGTATTCTAGATATACACACACATTACAGCTTAAATGTATACTCATATATATGCCTCATATCTCATGTGTGAATAGTTGTTATACTTTTTAATATTAATAGTTGAACATTGATAAGACACTTTACTTTACGTGAACATATGAAGTTGCAAAATACGTATGTGTAAATAAAGAATTAATATTGGTTTTAAAAATTTGTTTTGATAGTTATCGTTTCTATAAAGAACATGTTTGCCGACTCTATTATGAATATCGATCATTTAACACACTAAGCACTTACATTTGCTGAATTAATTGTTAATGCATGCTCCATATTTCAAATCAAAAGGTAAATTGATATACCTGGTATTTCACATACAGGTGTTCCTATCCATGTATTGTTTACACATTGAATCTGGTTTTCACTTTCGTTTTTAAAATCAAAGCCCTCTGCACATCGCAATGTAATTGACATGTTGATATGGCTTAGATCCTCGCTCACTATAACATTATCAGATAGTGAGTATGGTCCGCATGGATGCAAAAAGCACGCTGCTTCGGAATCACTTACCCAAGACCCGTTTGTCATGCATTGAAAATTGACATTTGTATTTGCCATGAATCCAGGGTTGCACTGTAACTTTGCCGTTGAGTTGATCGCTTTTTTTAATACATTTACCAGTCCGTTTTGAACTACAGGATTGTCCTCACACACCACAGGTTTGCATGATCCGGATGGTTCCTTCATTTCGTTCAAACCGCATACAACCTCTTCCGCTGACATTAAATCATGTACAATGTTTAAGTTTTAAATATTTTAAATGAACTGAAATTTATTAAAAGTATATATAACAAAGGTGGATAACGAGATTAAGGCTACCAAGGGACCACATTTTTTCCGGATTTTTTTTACGTAATAGCTCCGTAATCCTTAATGATATCGGCAGTTTTGTTAGAATACTATTTACTAGATTAGAATTGGAAAGAAATATATCCCATGCAAACGAACCTTTTATGAAACAAAAAATATCTGTGTAAAATTTACACGAAGGCAACATAGTTTTACTATATTCAGTTGAAAAAAAATGAAACTAGGCGTAATTATTCCTTTCAATCTTTTCCTGAGAAAATAGTGAAAATTTCACCATTTGGCATAAGAAATTATAATGGAAATAATGGCAAAAGAAAAAGAATGCAGGATCGGAAGAATTTTGAATGGACGAGAGTGGTCAAAATATGATAAAAGGTCAACAAGGAAGGACGGCATTCAACGAACGCATCCATCAGCAAGGAGCCCAGCAAACTAGGCAGGACACACGGGAGGGACGCCAACACAAGTAAGGGCACTGTCCATACCCAAGCGTAAGTCGCATTGAGTATTGGGGAAATAGAATTTTAATCAATATAATATTTGAAAATAGTTGTGTCGTTTGTGTCATTTCATCAAATCGCCATATAGACCAAAAAAACTACAAAAAATGGATATGATGTTTTGTAACACAGAATCTGTAAATAATAAGAATGCATAGGTGTGTAATGAAACAAAAGTCAAACTTGAACACCTTTTGATGAAAAATTCCGCACAATAAAAAATGTTATTACTTCAAGCACAGCTAGGACAAGCACGACACCAACAACTTGAATTATTCTGCACCTATTAGATTGCTTTCGGGGCTTCGTAGTGTTTGGTATTGGAAGGGCATTAATATCTGCGTACGAATGATTTGTTCTTCCGGAACTGGTTATACCTTTATCCTGCCATTCCTTCTGAATATCAAGTCGATTGTTGCTGCCTGGTATCCATAGATTTTTAGTATTATTAAAACGTGATCCACTTTCAAATGCATTGTCATAATCTTTTCCATAAGAATCCGCAGACTCCGCCTTTTGTTTATTTTTGCTTTTTTCTTCATCTTGTTGTAACATATCCGGGTCCCTGCCATAAGAATAATCTGATTCGTTGCGTTTGTTTTCGCCGACAATGTTTGAATTTCTCTCCCGATCAATGTTTTGCTTAATTCATGCAGAAATTTTAATGAAACGGGTACTTCCTTATTGCGGTAGAAATAATATCATTGGTTGTAACATTTATACAGTCACCTCTGCCAATAATAATCTATATTGTTGTACGTTAGTATTTTGCTGGCGATTGGTTAAAATTTTTAAAAATTTATTTAATATGTACAACGTGTAATAAAATGTTATACTGTATATCTTAGCAACAAATTAGATTTTAATAAAATTATTTTTATTTTCGGGTATGCACAAAAGATTGGCTTTTTTAAAATTTTGTTTATAAGAAAAGAAGAGTTCTGAATTTGCTGTACATGTGTGTGTATGTGTGTGCATGTGTGTGTACGTATGTTCAATCTTAAAGCATCATTTATTTATGTTAATTTTCACGAAAGTTCTCACATTCTGTTCACCCTTTATTTTAAAGTGAAGTGGATTATATTTGAATATCTATAGTACAATGAGTAATAACTTAGATAGTATTTAGTATTTAACATTATAACAAACCGTGAAATAATTAAATATTGAAGTTTTGGACAACTGTGAGATACATGATTGGATATTTCATATTTTTATAGCAGATAAGACAATGTTCTAGAGCAAAATATTATTAGTAATCATATAAATGTGTATCCTGCATCAATAACATCTTTATCGACAAAATGTCAAGAAGCATTTCATAAGAATATTCAAATGATATATTTCTGTTGTTTTTATCAATATTTGAAATAATGGAAATATGCCCATTGAAGACCTGTTCACTTTAAAGTATCATGACATTATTTAGTGATTTAAACAAAGTGATAAGCTAGATAATTTGTAAGTAATGAAAGTTCCGCGCTTTAGCAAAAAAAAAACAATTTTAGCAGTTATATCCCGTTTTTCTAGTTGAAAAAAACACTTTTAATTTCCGTTATAAATAACAATTAAAATAGTCAGTTTGTGATTTCTGTAAAGAATCTTGAAGCTATCCCCTAGTACAACACAGTTTGCGATTCATCGCATTATGATCAATAGTGTTCAATCATTTAAAAAAATGTAAATATTTAAATCAATAAAATCTGATCAAAATATTATCATATTCAGAAGAAGTTGTTTTACGATATACAAACAGTATGTTTAACATTCGTATGTATTGAATTCAACGAGAAGTAATCGAGAAGTGTCCCATAAACAATGTTAAAAGAACAGTATTAGACATTGAAGACTTCTTTTTATTCGGTCTGTCGGTATTAAAAATAAGTTTTTGTATTCTATATCAAATCTCATTGTAAATAACTCAATCTCCGTAAAAACATGAATAACTAATGGCAGTTTCAAGTAGTTTTAATTAATCCTTGATTGATTATCTCCCGTTTTAAATATTTTAACGGAATAAGAACATTCAGTGTATAATACCATATCGTGAAGACAGAGATTAATGAACTACCTAAACGATTCTTGTTATGTAAACTGATTCTTATCTAAAGTAATAAATAAGACCTGCCTTTGGAATTTATCTTGAGTATTTAGCATACTAAGTCTTTGGTTCATAGAAATAAAACACTAAGATAATAAATAGAATTAAACAAAAAATGCAGACCAACGACATATCTTAGAAGAAATGAAATACCTGCGTCATCGTTGAGGTAGACCTGACCTAAGGAAGACAGCATATGCAATAGCGCTCGTTATGTTCAATCTTCAAAGTTATAGATATTACAATCAATGAATCAACAAATAAAATTTCGTAAGATTGTATTCGAATTATTTTAAGTATAACTCTTGAAACCTTTTATGTGATCCTTACCTCCAAATATAGATATCCATACGTAAAGGTAAATCTTAAATCAAATAACTAGTGAATCAGGTTTTCTGCTACTGATCATTTAAAAAGACAACAACAAAAAAAACATTGAAATTGAAATTGCTAAGTAAACCCTGAACTCCAATACATGTGTTTTTTGGTACTGTCTTTTGTCTTTTTTAAATAACATTGTTGAAGAATTAATATGTAAAATTCATTCAGATTAAGATTTATGAATGTCATTTCAATGTCGTAAAACACATACAAGTCCAGACAAGACAGTGTTCCTAAGTTGCATCATATCCATGGGAGATAATTTTGCAAGCACTAGGCTATTTCTATAAGATATTCTGCACAAAAAGCAAAATAAAGAAAGAGTAGGTCTAGAACAATGGCAATATTAGGGATCGAACAACATACCTCTTTTTTTATTAGGCAGTCACTTATGGACTGTTCTTTTCACGGACGTGAAAATGGCCTATACATCAATTGCTGCAGCCTCTATATAACAGTAGACATATTTACATTCACTGTTATGATAACATATCTTGTTTACGCTAATGGTGTCGAAGACATTTTTTACAAACAAACGAACCGGAGAAGCTGTGTAACAACCGGACTGCGAAACAGGGTATTAAGAGTAAGAATAAATCAGGGAGCCGGTGTGTATTGTTTAAACAAACTAAATGGGGAACAAGTGTGTGAATGAACAATGTAAAAATTAAACAGTAAAAGTGTGAGAGCAAATTTATGGTGGCATATTTCTGCCACCAGAAAACCTGATAACTAACTAGTTAATTAAGAGGTTAACTAGTTACGTAACTAGTTATCCTGATACCTAACTAGTTAATTAAGAGGTTAACTAGTTACGTAACTAGTTAACCTCTTAATATTAAGATGATAATAAGGGTTGGCAGTTGCGGGCACAAACAGGCATTTATTATCCGTTATGATCTTTTATTTATTGAAAAAATTAACTAGTTACGTAACTAGTTAACCATATACCTAACTAGTTAATTAAGAGGTTAACTAGTTACGTAACTAGTTAACCTCTTAATTAACTAGTTAATTATCAGGTTATCTGGTGGCAGAAATATGCCACCATACAAATCAGAGAAGCGGTGTGTTTTGTTTAAAAATCTAAACGGGGAGCAAGTGTGTGAACAAACTGAGGAACTTGTTTAACATCGGAACGGGGAATATAAAACAACAACAACAATAACAACAACATCAAGAACAAAAACGAAACAATACTGAGTTGAACTTGTTAGAAGATGCTTGAACAGATTGTTTCAAATAGAAAACGGAAGATAAAATTCTTTTCAAATCTGCATATTTACGTATTTCCTTCAGTTATTGTTCGAATAAAATACTTCGAAAAACGTATTCAAATAATGGCATGCATGAATGAAATATTTATGATTTCATTCACTGATCTGTATGACCCGAAAATTAATTGAACTTTTTTTTTTGTAAATTTATGTAATACATTTATTAAATAAACTCCGAGGTAAAAATAATAGTTTTAGATATCTTTTGTATAAATTACAGTTAAGACGACGTTTATGCTAAGTTTATTTTGCTTAATTCTACCGGATGTTTTATTTTCATCATCTCCTTTACATTAAATGTTAAGGAACAATTAATTTTAAGGACTTGATTTATATCAAACCAACCTCTATTTGCAATTATTTAATTTTTAGCGTATGATGCCTTACTTTCTTGAACATATTTCTGAATTTCCTGACATGACTTTTAATATGTTATTTTATAACCTCTGGTTAATTACAACATATTTTAATCATTATGAAATAAATATATCATAAGGGGATCGAACCTCAGCTTAATTTGAGTTTTACATTTACACCGAGTTCAGGTCTTTGGCTGAAGGGTCTCTATAACCAGTAATTTAATGGACACCTAAGCCATGAAATGTCTCTTTATTGTAATAATATAACCTTTAAAACGTTATGAGATTAACATCAAGTATTGAATGTAAGAGGTATTGCGTACCTAACATGTACACAGTTTTAAATAGTTCAAAATTTATTTACTACAAGGAAAAAACAAAACATACTCAAGATGGGTATTATTTCCTGATTTTAACAATTTATGTTTTCTTTGTTATTTTTTTCTTTTGTTTCATCATAACTTAAGATGAGATATAATCAAGGAATAAATCGCTTTAAAATGATGTGCATGACGATAATGCAAA